ATGTATTCATATTAAATTTAATGTGCATGACCTAATTAAGAAGATATTGCGTAGTAGTCCGATTAAGATCAAGACAACGGGTACAGTATACAGTATAGTTCCAATCATGCGTCAAAGTAGTACTGTTTTTATCGTACTTCTCTTTTCATACCTTGATTTCTTGTAATTACATGTTGCAAGTCTTTCAACAGGGTAGGTGTTAACACTGCAAATTTTTGGCGCGTAGCATTCAAGCCGTGATACCAGTACGTTGAAACTTCGATCTTGTAGGTAGGCTTTAGTAGTAGTAAATAGGTAGGCTTTCGATATGATAATGTCGACAATTCCGAAGTAAAACTACTCATAATATTTTAAAATTAAATATGGTCTGATTTATACTAAAATATACAAAATATAAATTGCAGATTCTATTATTTAAGGTCATTAAGTTTTTATAAAACTAGTGTATAAACAAATTGCAAGGACTGTGAACTCATCCGTGATTAGGAAGAAACTGCAGCAATTCGTCTGGGTTTTAATTCTTTAAAATAATAACTGTAAGTTTATAATATTAATTTAGTAATGTTTTAGATTCTTTTAAGAATAATGAGTCAACGCAAAGAGATATCGAAAGAACAGGTAGAATGTGTTTAAATGGAGATAGATATTAAACAGTTCAACGCGTATATTATTGGATAGGTACTTTCAAAGACCGGCCGGCTGGTGTCAAGCTGTAACCAACACGTAGGTACCACACGGTATTGCCGGTTACCATCTTGCGGTAAATTCCGAAAAAGTAAAAAAAAATCAACCTGATTTTACTTAAATATTACGTTATAATAGATTATTAACATATGGTTCATCTTTTCTAGAATGTACTTACAACTTGTTTTGTCCTGTACATATTTATTCAACCGTATGTCGTTCTTAGAATAAATGGTGCTGTTTCATTGTTCTGTGAAGTTTCATTCAATTTGAAGACGTAACAAATCGCGGTTTTTGTGCCTGCACAATAAAATGTAGTTGTCGAGCAAATGATATTTCTCAATATTCAAGTTCTAAATTATGGATTAAACATGTACATTTTGTCGAGGTCTCTATTTGATTGTGGTTTTTGCTTAATATTAGTTTGTATTGCGAACATGGTTTACACATTTAGTAAAGTTGGTAAACTATAAATCAATTTTATATAGCTGACACTTAAGTTCAGCTGTCTGTACAACAATACAAACAATATTGTGGGTACTACAGTACGAATAACGACTATGACTAACTACTTAGTATTAACTAAATAACTTTCAAACATCACTGGCAATTCTTTTACTGAGAACAGCTGATGAAGAGCGCAACGTTTCATTTAAGCCTAGATTTATGTTTTATGTTTATGTAACAAATGAGTGTAACTTGTGTATTGAAAGACCTTTCTTAATTTTATTAGTTAATAAAACAAATCAAAAAATCTTCCACAGAGCGGGTGACATTAACTGGTTTAGTTTATATGCAAACTTAACTTGGAAAGAGAGTAAGCGTGGTTCATATTTTTACTTACCGAAGCTACTAAATTGTACACATGTTTTAGTTAGTAGTGCTTACAAAAAATGTAACGTAATGAAAACCATATTTTGGTATTCAAAGGCTAAATAGAGAACCTTCTTATTACCTAACCAGTAAACGATCGGATCTTGTCTAGTAAATTTCCGCTTTTATTGTTCAGTAAAACATCCTTGTCCCGGTTCCCAGCGAATTTAGCCACATTGCTTCAGAAAACCAACGTTTATTTTAATCGGTCAAAATTATAGAACGTGTACACGCTAGGAGATAATGAGCTGGTTCGAATATATATAAAAAAAAACACTCATGAATGTTGGTAACGGTAATGTGAATCGTTCATTGCAGACATCTAGAACGCCGGGCGAAACGAATGCCGAGAGGTAGCTAAGTACATGCGCACCCCCACCGAACGTGGTCTCGCCTTGTCGCGGCGGTGGGGCTTAAGCGTGCACCCCGATACCGTGGAGCAGCGTTGTCTGCACAGGGGTGCCGTGAACAAAGAGGACTGCACACCGTGTTCCCGTTTTCCCACCTTTGCTGGACAAAGGGTGCGTGAAGCGGGAGATGGCTCCCTTCTGGAGCCGTCTTGAATGCTAGGCCATGTCCCCGGCAGCTTTTTGGCTGCTAAAGGGGAAGGCCCTCCAGAGGAGGGTACCGGTACGCCGGCGTGGCCACACCGTGGTCAGACGTGTGGGTCTGTCAGTAATGGTAGACCCCACGTGGATGAGAAGTGAACCGGAGGGCACTCCCTTCCGGTCGCTGGTTGCCATGTCCCCGGCTGCCTCTTGGCGGCTACAGGGGAAGGCCCCCCAAAGGGGGGTACCGGTTTACCGGCNGTATAAACACGACAAATACTTACCTTAATGTCATACCACACTATTAAGCTATTCTAACGATCAGACTGTGTTTAACGAGATGGAGACACGGCCTTGCCGTGACGCAATTGTAAAGAAAGTGAAAACAAGAAATCGCCACCAAAACGTAGTGTCATTGAATGAAAAGTCAGTTGTTCTGGTGGTCGTTTGTCAACAGTTTGTGGGCGCCGGTCGGTTACCACTAAAACACGCTTTCACACAGCTATTGTGAATAAAACTAGTTTCCGTTAATTACTACTAAATAAAAAAAATACGCGGAATGCTTGGTAAACAAAATAGCTTCGCAATGTTCGAGATTTGTCTTCTTTTCGGTTATGGCACGAACGGACCGAAGACAATATAATTTTACCGTTTAATCACCGTGAATGACTTGGCAATAATTCTCGTTGTGGGTCATCAATCATCTTGGGAATTATGTGTGTATGTAGCACCGCAGCAATACATATTATAAACGGTTAAGCATTTATTTTATATACTGAGGGTAAACAATTTAAGCGAAATAATCGTAGCTATCGATTCATTCAATTGCAGTGCAGATCAGTATCACCCTTTATGTACCTGTTTTCATTTTTATCAAAAATGATAAGAGGTTTATGTAAGTTATTGACAACATTGAACCTGATAAGCCTCTGATATACTTAAGAATTTGAAAAAAAAAAATAGTTTTAACCGGCTGCATATTAAAAACACAACTATTTTCGAGTGTTATGCGGAAATTGTAAAGTTGTCATCTTTATAAGTGTAAAAATATTTAAAAAATCTGAAAAAAAAAAAATTGTAAACAAAAACGGATTTGTGATGTCTTCTGGTATTTTAGCTACGATTGTATCACTGTTCTGTGGATGTTTTTAGCAGTTATGTTTTATCTGGGGTGTTTGAGAATACGTTCTTAATTTAGTAATGTTTAAATTTTTAACTAAGTACTACTACACAGTAATATTGATTTTCGTAGGAAATAGCAATTAAAATGGTGGTCCTTAATAGAACGAATCTGTATTATTGGACACGCTTGGACAAATAAATACTTGGATTTACACTTTATCATAGATTTATACCTACAATGCCAAATTATAAGCTTGTTTCTTAAATACTATGATACTAACTACTAACTTCCATTTCCTTTTTCAATAACACATACTTGTGTTCCAGGAATTGTCCAAAAGTAGATTTTACGCCGATCATCTACCCTTACCAAGATGTCTGGCTTCACCAGATAAAATGCAATATCCTTCTGTAAGAGAAGTTGAAGAAGTACTTAATGGTATTAACAGTTTGATTCTCAGTACCAATGTTGAAGTTAACGAGTATCTTCGTATGACTTTGTTTTTTTAACTCTTAGCACATAAACGCTACAATGAGAATCGGATTTCGCAGGCATTATTACGACTATCCTTCAAAGTTGTCAAATCTTCAAATACATCACTCTTCATACTTACTGAATTCAACGAACCGGTTTGTAAAAACACATTATAATTACTAATGATGACAATAGGTTCGAAGGAAGAGAGGCGTCGCTTTGTTGGATGTTGTGTCCGGGTGCGCATTCGACCGTAACGTAATTTAACGGTGGGGCACACCGCGACATTATTCTGTTTTGCATTGATCACTTGTAATGGCTAGTAAGCTATTTAATAGTTTGCTCTGGTTTACCTTTGTATACCATAGACAATCACAGTCGTATACGTTCACGTTTGTTTTAACAATGATATAGGTACCTAATGTAATTAAATTTGAAAATCTTATATATATATAAAATTCTCGTGTCACAAGGTTAAATCAAATCAAATAAAATCAAAAAAATTATTCAACATAAATGAAAGTATGTACATACTTGTTGAACGTCAAAAGAACTACCGCCAATTCACAAGAACTAGCTTTATAGTAAGCTTTATTGCACAGATGTTCTTTAATAGTTTTCTTAAACCTATGTGTATGTAGGTTCTGAACATCTTGTGGGATTTTGTTGTACAGGCGCACAGACAAACACCCGAATGAAATTCGTATCTTATGTAACCTACTCATCGGCACAACAAGCTTGTGTTCGTTCCTAGTATTTCTATTATGCATGTCCGACTTTTTAGGAAACTCCTCAATATGTTTACGAACATACATGAAATTTTCAAAAATGTATTGGGAAATGTACTGTTAGTTACCATACTCCTCTGAAACGATTTGACCGATTTTCATAAAATTTTATATGCATGTTCACTAGGTCTGAGAATCGGCTACTATCTATTTTTCATACCCCTAAGTGATAAGGGTTGTCCACCCCTAACATTTATTTTTTGTATTTTTTTGTTTGTTTTAATGAGGCATTATTTGGTTGAAGGAAGTTTTGTTATTTTTATATTCCCTCATCGTTCACAGCGCTACATGCCTCTTTCACTCTAGCGTTGTGAACGATCAGGGAATATAAAAATAACAAAACCTCATTCAACCAAATGCTCAACCATGCCTCTTTCACTCATTTACCACATCCTTACACACTTACAATATGTTAGTTCTTTTTCTACACTAGAAATTCCTTACAAATCTTATATATGCCAAAACAATGTTTGCCGGGTCAGCTAATGATAATATATTCCCTTGTTTCAGACGGGCGGTGCGGACAGTGCCAGCGGAGGGTCTGGTGGCTCGGGCATGGAATGTCTTCCTCTCCGTTCTCAATCATTCCACTACCTTGTCTCAGAGCAGGCTAAATCCCTCGTCGCATTACAGGTGAGCAAAGAAGTGTATAGATAAAAAAGAATAATTCCAAGACACACAAAACCTAAATAGACCCGGTTTGTAGGGGTTATTATACATAGCCGTTATTAACAATATAATTGAGACTTCGACCTCTTGTTTCAAGGTGAACAGTGACATTCACGTTTAAAGTCTGACCACTAAAGCGCTGTCTACTCAAATAATTTTGTATTTTAGTTTGTCTACGTGGTTACCTACCTACCTATTTATTACTTGCCAATTGGTTTTATATATGTTTATGCGATCATGATAATTCTATAAACCTCTGAAAATTTATGTTACATCATCATCGCACACAACTGGGACAGCGAGAAGGCGCAAACCTTATTTAAAAAAAAATCGCAATTAAATAGCGTCTTTAACACATAACTTTTGGGTCATCAGCTCATCCGCCAATCAAAAGGATTTTTTTTTACAAAATTTCGATTCAGTCGTTAGCCGTCGAAAGTTTTTCGACCGGTATTCTATGCTCAAAGTAAATTTGTACAATTTTTTATCAGGAACTCCAGAATGAGGTCGGGGCCCTGCTCGAGTTCCGCGACCTCGTCATCGAGACGTTCCCGAATCTTCGGTCAAAGATGGCGCCGTCGCGCGGGAACAGCGTTACTCGGCGCGACTGGGAGCCCGGAGTGCGCGTGCGGCGCAAGCTCCCCGCGCCACAAGAGCCGCGAGCTAAACCTCATCCCTCCGTGCAAGACTCCGGCTTCAGCACAGAGACCTCATGCAAGGTACTAACGTAAACTATGCTAGCTGCTACGCATACTACCAGTGCATACGGCCTTCCTCAAAGATTTTATAAACCGACTAACTAGAAACGTTAGTTCCTTTTACCAAGATTTCTAAGTCTTTCATCGAAACTGAATAATCAAGTTCTGTTGTTAATCAGTTTCGCTGAACGGGTTTCAGGAAGCGCATTCGTCCGCATCCGCGTCGGCTTCAGCGTCGAGGTCGCGTCCGTTGGAAGACGAACTGTGGGCGTTACTTGATGTCATCCAACGTAAGGGCGGCAGGTTGCGGGAAGAGGCCGAACTGCTGCGTGGGGAACTCGACGAGCGGGCTACAGCCGAAGACGAATTCACCCACACCGTCTCACACCAGCACTGCGATTGTGAACATGTACAGAGGTTGCGCGAGGAACGAGACGCCTTGCTCGAAAGAACAGCGCAGCTTGAAGCGCAGGTACATAGTATTACTGGGATGTTGCAACTCATATAATATTTTGCAAACCGTTATCGGTGATAATGTCACTTTCGTCATGTCAACTTGAGATTCAGTGTTGCTTCTGTTACACTGCACAATAATATGGCAACTTTTGTCTGATGATTTACTTTTAGCACGTGCTGTTTGCTAATTTGACGTTGCTGATTTTAAATATAGCCTCGGTTTGTTTGTAACAGCTCTCGTTTACGAAATATAGCTTTCACGAAAAAATCGCTGTGTTAGTGTGTTAATTTGTTTTTAATTAAAAAAATATTGTTTTTTTAATTCCAATCTTCTTCATCTTCAAGAAGAGTTGACACATCAATGATCCATATCATTTTTGTTTCATTTGCATAGGGTACATATTTAAAGAATACTGTTTGTATATAATATAATTATAAATAGGTACCGTATAGTACGTATTTATACCGTTTGTATTCTGTCATTTTATCGATATGCATTTCTATATATGATTGGTAAAATTTCATGAAATGCTGATTTGTAGTAAAAAGGTCGAAGGATAAAGCTATTTATCCATATTAAAAAGACGGTACGTCATGAAAACCCTCTTGTCGTGGCCGCGGAAAATTACATACCCGATCCTGTGGACCGTAAGCTAAACAGTCGAAGTCGCCCTAAACATGTCATTACGGATCCTCCCGATCCACCGTTAATGGTGCCTTTAGGTACCTCAAGCACCGGTCATCGTCCTCGCCGAACCCGTCGATGGCGACGAAGACCTTGACGAGTAAATTAACCCATAGATACAGCCCACTGAGTTTTTCGCCGGATCTTGTCAGTTGGTCGTGTTTCCGATCCGGTGGTAGATTCTGCGAAGCACTGCTCTTGCTAGGGTCAGTGTTATAAACACTCCCGATTTGAGCCCCGCGAGGTCACCTACTAGCTCGGTGAATCTAGAATCCCCTCGAGGTTACTAGATAGGAAGGAATAAAAAAATATATTTGCATTTACTCCAGGTGCATTCGTCGAGCAAGCCGACATCGGCGCTGGGCCGGCTGGACTCTACGTTTGGTTCGCCGTCACGAGTGCGCGTGCCGACTCCCGATTCGGAAAAGTTCGCGGCGATTCTACTCGAGAGCAATCCCGTCGAACTGCAGAGACAACTCCTCAACTCCACCGTTCAGAATCAGGTTAGCGTTTGATTCTTAAATATTTTTGAGTTGACACAGGGCGTGGACTTTCGGAACGGCCTATTGATTTGGACGCTTGGTGTACTCGTGATGCAGAGATTATGTACCCGATTTTCTCTCAGATTTGGTTAAATTTCTCAAGCATTTATAATTTTGTATGATATTGCAATCTACGTAAAATTATTTTTAGGGCATTTTGTGAGGTCACGCGGGCTAGGATCTACTCCTCCCGAGAAACTGTATATGATATAGAAAAACTTTAATATTTAGTACAAAATTACAAACGTATGTAACTTTGCTTGTTTCTGAAGTTGAAATTGATACAAAATATAATATGAAATTTAAAATATATTGACCTTTTTAACATGGTTTTATATTTTTTTATTAGACCAAAACAATAAAAGTACATATTAAACCGTTATTAATCCTTGATACGTGTAAAAAATTGCAAGTTGATAGAATATCATAAAGTTGATGAAATTTATGTTGAAATATTCCGTTACATAGATAGGTAGACAGACGGAAACACACGCAGAGCGAGCTAATAAAATCGTATTAAACAACATAAATTGAAATAATTACAATCGCTTCAGCCTACTGTAACAAACAAACAAAAAAGAATCGTAAAGAAGTAAACTAGTAATAATTGTAAGTGAGATGACGTAAATGAGTACGTGACTGTCATTGCTGTAACGAGAGACGGCGCGTTGACGTAAAGGGAGATTTCGGCAAAATTACGCGGAACAAAGCTAATGGACTGTGTCGACGAACCATTATGAGAGGCTATGTGCTCGCGTATTGTTCAATAAAGACCGTTGTCGTCTTTAAGTTAAATTTAAAACTTTTCAAACTACCAACAACGACAGTAAACGCACAAAATAATTTGTGGTAAGCGTCCTTCGACTTATTATTTTTACGCGACTTCGTGTCTAATTTTACGAGTACTTTCGTTCGATCTCGATTGTTATCAATTAACTTAACGCGATAAATATGTAAGCGCGTCGCGTAGCCTAGAGTAGTATGATGATAGTTTTGAAATCTAATCTTAAATCATAAGCTTTTAATATAGGGTGGGTAGTAATATAAGCGGATAGCTAACGGTATCTACCCTTTGACGCTCTATCACCACAAAATAAAATAAAAATACAACTATACAAGCTTAGTTTAGTAAAGAAATTAAATTTTCGTTTATTTTGAATTTGTGGTTATTTTCTTATTATGGTCTCGGAAAACGTTTACATTACACCTATAAGCATTATAACATATCAGTGTACCTTAATCCGGAATTAATGAAAGATATTTTAAATAAATAAATGAATTAAACCTTTATATTAATTTAAATTTTTATAAAAGTAAAGATTCACAGCTGCAGCCTACTGAGTTTCTCGCCGGATCTCCGCAGTGGGTTGTGATTCCGATCTGGTGATAGATTCAGCAAAACACAGCACTTACTAGAGCCAGTGTTAGCAATTCTCTCAGGTTGAGCCCGTGAGCTTACCTACCAGTCCGCGCATAGATGAAATAACCCCTTAGACTACCAACGATTACGCAGAAAAAAATGGAGACAGCAAAGTCGTTTGAAACAAAGCACTCGATCTGGTACAAGTACTTATCTACGGTTTTATAGGCTTACCCCCGTATCTTTAGTCGTTCACACGAGCTTAACTCGAATCGACTCAACCTCCAACGCGCGTTTTGGTATGCTTAGACGTAAAAATAAACTCCACTCAAACGTCCTTGGAAAATTTTCCTAACCGGAGTGGAGTAAACGAAATGTCAAGTCAAGGTACGTCGCGACGTACCTTGAACGTTCCTCGAAGCTGGTTTTCTATCAATGTCCAAATAGTATGTGGACCGCAAATGGAAATATATGATATTGTTGTGCAATGGCCAGGATCTGTGCATGATATGCGCATATTTTGATAATTTTTATTAAAAAAGTGAATAGTTCGAGGTTAGACTCTTGTTTAAACTCGTGGTTAGACATTTGAAACTCCTTATTTTATTTACCTACATAAGAGTCATATTTTGCTTACTACCTAATAAATAAAGTCAATGCTATTATAAGTTTTATTTATATAATAATAAACTGGTGGTTGTGGAAAAGCACTTCAACAACACGATGCAATCAAAATCACACAAAAACGGCGAATAAAAATACAAAACCGGGTCCGAAATCTAAAATAATAATGGGTTAGAAAATAGATAATACACTTTCAAATTTACCACACATATTTACGAATAACTCAGCAACTAAAGCATCAAACAAGTTTAATGCTTCTAGTGTCAAACAGACAGCAGCAGCTTGACTTTGACATTAAACAATGACCATAGACTACAGAACTCTATAGGTTTGATGCTAGCTTGATCAAATTTTCCTCAAACTGATGTTGTCGTGGTGACGCAATAACGCGACTCTACCTCACTCGAGGACAGTTGAGGAATATTGTAACGGTCGACTAAAAATACCAAACTCGAGTAAGTTTGGGAGGAATGCTCGAGCTTCATTGGATGAGTTAAGAGTGGAGGACTATTTGACGAAACGTCTAAAGATACGGGCATTAGTCAACTCCAAATAAATGCCCTTTCTGTAAATTTATATTTCGTACACACATAGTCTAAAATGAACTGATTTTAATTGCGTTGCAATGCGTATTTGGATATGATAACTTTGAATCATACTTCTTTAGTACCATTGTGATTACAAAATAGATGAAATGACGATAAAAAGAGAAAAAAATGCACATTTATAGGGTTTAGCCAGCGAGAGAACATTACAGAATACTTCTGTAGATACATATAAATAATGGTGGCGCCTGGTCAATTTTCAGGTTTTAAGTGAACGGCTGAAACGTGTCGTTGCGCAGCGTTCGTCACTTTTCGAAAGATTAGAAAGAGCGCGAGATGTCAACGAAGATCTAAAATTTAGAGTAAGTTATTTTTATGTTACAACACGCTGTATGTACACGCATTTCAAGTAAAAAACGAATGCGATCTATGAGCGTTGTGAGCGTTTCTGTTTGACATCTTATGTAAATAATTGTAATGTAAATAATAGGTAATATTTATAAATTTAAACTGAATTATTAATATTGTATACTTCTCGTCCCTTTGAGCTCATTATTTTAAGAAAGTTTATGCAAGCGAAGTGACTTATTATATTGTGGGCTTATCCCACATTCCATGCACACACATTTAGGTACTCTTCACAATAAAATACATACTTATATGTTTATTTAATATAATTATTAATACACACAAAATATACATTCATACATATAACCTATCTATGAATATATTATTACTACACTATATATAAAACAAACATACACACACATGTGTGTATGTGTGTGTGTGTGTATAAATGTGTGTGTGTATAAATGTGTGTGCATGGAATGTGAGATAAGCCCACATCTTTAATGAATGTTGGTTAAATAAGATTAAAGATTAGAATAACGACCATATCAATCAATAATTATTCTAAGAATTTCGACCTTAACTTTGAAAGTGCTGCCATCTACACTACCTCCTATAGCTTATTTATGGGCTCTAAAATTGGATGGGTTTACATTAAAAAACAATTAGGAAAGCGTACATATCTGATTCCAGTTGGAGGAAAAGAGCATAGAGGCGGAGACGGCCCGGGGTCGCGTGCGGCAGCTGGAGGCGGGCGCGCACAGCAGCATGCGGGAGATGGAGCCGCTGGCGCTCCCGGGCGAGGCTCCCGGGCGCCGGGCGCGGCCCTCCCGCATCCCGCTGCACAAGGGCGCCGCCCCCCGCCAGCCGCCGCCCCGCCCCCCCTCCGCACACTCGCAGCGCTCGACCAAGTCCGCGGTGCCCGTGCGCCGGGAGCCCGCGCCCGACGCCAAGGTGCGCGCGCGCTCCTTCTGGAACAATTGGTTCTTTAAAGACTCCTAGGGGACAGCGCCCCCCTCCCCCTCGTGCTAAAACCCACCGTGTGAGAGTGCACCAGTGACTCGCTTCCGTCCGGTTACGGTTAACGCTCGCCGGCCCATGCCATTATGTCGATAGTAAGTTTTCGTTTCTGTTAGTTTTCGTTCGCGGCGTTCTCTCCATTTGTCCGTTGAGTTGTCGCGATTCGAGCGAACGCGTCCGAAGCTTTGGCGGCCCGAAAATCAAACGCATCAACCGAGTAAGATTTCCGCAGTTCTCGTCCGCTTTCTGAAGATTTGCTGTATCTATAAATTCGTGAACGACGAAGAGAAATGTTTACTCGAAAGTGCGAAATTTAACTTTATTATTTATATAATTTTGTTTAGATACGCTGTTTTGGGTCCCGCGAACCGCAAAGAGCGCGCGTTCGACTGTGCTGTAGCGCAGTAGTCGCGATGTGGCCGGCTAGTACGAAACATTGAAACGTAACATACATGTGAATACGATGCGTATTATTTAAAACTTACCCTTGTAGTTGCGTTTCCAGAATGAAGCATTAATTTCTTTTAGCTTGCATGACTCACGTTTTTTTGGTACTTAATATCGTTCGTTTGATTTTTGCGCCGAACAGAATGCTTATCGTCTCATCCATTGATTTATGTTATTAATAAATTAATTAAGATAACACTTGTAAAAATTGACGTTCGTGGAAAGCCATTAGAATTTACAATGTAATAAATTGTAAGCTCCGCAAACGACAATTTTATCATTTTGCACTATTGGCGTGGGGTTACTTTGTGTTTTATGTTGAAATAATATTCATATCATGTTTTGCAATTCATTTGAACTACACAAAAACGGAAATAATATTGACTGTTATGTGAGTTTTTAATAAAAAAACCATTGTTTTGCGTAAGCGGTAAGTGCATTATTATTATTATTATTTTTGCCACAATTATCAACCGCTAGTTTTTTGTTAGTTTATTTGCTATTTGTATTGACATAGTGGCATAATAAGAAATAATGATTAAATAAATAAAAACACAACAGAAGCTCTCACATGGCAATAATGTTTTAACTTTTTTAGGACTTACACAATAAACACATGCACACTTGCTAAAGTAAAAAAGACACGGTTGATAAACTACTTAGAAACCACATAAAATAATATTTACACTTTTTTGTTGTAAGTGTCGATCGTTGCTTTATTTTTTGACGCCATTCATAAAAATATCGATTAGTTTGTAATTTAAACTAATATCAATCACGCGTATGTGGGATTAAAGTCGATTAGTGATTATACGAAATAAGTGGGAGACGAGCAACGATCGACAGTTGACGAGTGTCGCAGTGAATATACCCGGCACGTATAATGCGATCAAATTACAAAAGAAAACCTCATTAATGGAATTTTTAACACAATCATAGCTTCAATATATATTTTTTTAATCGAAAGTGGTTTTCTTGCTAATCGTAATTAGGACGTGTAATTTGATGACAGCCAATGTTGAAAATTGGCATTCGTATACGTTACGTTTGATCGTATTATCAGCCTGGCCACGGGACATTCGCCGATGCGAATATTCGCGCGGTGCGAACGGCGAAGCGTCTAGCGACTAAAACAAGCGCATAGAAATGTACCTAACAAGCCACGCGCACCGGCGACCGGCGAAGCGACCGGCGAAATGTACCGAGCGAATCGCGCGATGCGGCGGGCGAGCAAAACAAATGCATGAATACGGACGGCGCGAGCCACGGAGTCGAGCGGTAGTCGCGGCGAATAGTGCAGTGATTAAATGAGTTTAGTTGTTTTCGCCGCGAAAAATTAACGCCGAAATTTTTATATTTTTTATTTATTTTTTATTTTATATTTTTAAAGTCGTCGTGGCCTAACGGACGTCCGGTGCAATCGTGTTGAGCGATGCACCGGTGTTCGAATATCAGGCGGGTACCAATTTTTGTAATGAAATACGTACTCAACAACACTCAACGTTCACGATTGATTTCCACGGTGAAGGAATAACATCGTGTGATAAAAATGAAATCTTCAAAATAATAATTTGCGTAATTACTGGTGGTAGGACCTCTTGTGAGTCTACACGGGTGGGTACTACCACCCTGCCTATTTCTGCCGTGAAGTAGTAATGCGTTTCGGTTTGAAGGGTGAGGCAGCCATTATAACTATACTTGAGACCTTAGAACTTATATCTCAAGGTGGGTGGCGCATTTACGTTGTGGATGTCTATGGGCTCCAGTAACCACTTAACACAAGGTGGGCTGTGAGCTCGTCCACCCATCTAAGCAATAAAAAAATAAAATAGCTGAAATACTAGCTAGACCAGCTATTTGGAAGTCTAGCCACCCAAAGTATTTCTCGTACTTCTTGTGGAATTCTCCATCTATAGGTATACTCCGATTCTTATTCAAATCATGTACTTCACAATCTTTTCCAAATAATAGGTCCTGAAAAAAAAACTATTAATTTGTAAGCAATATCGAGATAATTTCGATATAGACATTTCGCTGTCGGACTTCCTTACTAGTCGCGGCGGCGAACGTGAGTACCCGTGGCCTGCAAACGGTGCTGCGCGAATGGTCGCCTCGCCCACCGCTTCGCTGTTCGCACCGCCGATCCCCGTGGCCAGGCCGTAAAACGTGAGGCGTTTGTACAGAGCGGCTCGAGCGCGGAGTGGGAGGTGGCGTGGGAGTACGTGCGTCGGCTCGCCCGCCTCGAGCCGCGCCTGCCCGCCGCGCGCTCGCTGGCCGCCGAGCTGCTCAGCGCCGACCCCGACTCCATCGAGCTGTGGAGCGGCCGCCCGCAGCTCTACTTCGAGAGCATGCGCTATGCTGACGACGGAGACTTCGAGGTCGACTCTCTCACTTGATCGGCCCGACTTTTATTGTACGCTCTCGCTTGATCGGCCCGACTTTTATTGTACTCTCTCGCTTGATCGGCCCGACTTTTACTGTAGACTATCTGGCTTGATCGGCCCGACTTTTACTGTAGAGAATGTCCCTCAAGCTTTTGCGAGTCGCTGGGTTATCTGTGTGCTTAGTGCGAGTGTTTTTAACGTTCTCGATAGCGTAAAAGTTTGCTCATATTTGTGTGGAATGGGATCGTTTGCGTACGTTTGCCGCTAGGGGCGTTGTTCCAATTGCATACAAAATTGGCTTAACTTTTATCGCTATCGAGAACGTTAAGAAACTCTCACTAAACGCACTGGAGTTATTTTGCTCTATATTTGCGCTATATTTGCTCTGTTCATGGATTCTTTTCACATGCAGCCGCTCTAAAATGTAAAGAATTCCCTGAGGTTTTTGCGAGTCGTGAACGTGATTAAAAATACTATTATGGTTTAATCTCGCGTTTGTTGAATTGTGGGTTAACTGGAGTTATTTTTATGAAGAGCAAAATGAACGCAACTATGTTTAGGGTGCGCTATATTCGCTCTGTTCATGGGTTCTTTTCATATGCAGCTGCTCTAAAAGTACGAGCTTGTTTTACAATTTTTAAATAAACTTAATGCAAATCCGTAACACGTACACATTGTTGCTTGGCTCGCATCCAAGAACATAATTTACTTTGTGATAAGATCAACGCCGAGCGTGCTACGTTTGCACGCTTCAAGAGTCGCGATCGTTGAATTTGAATGAATTTTTCAATTCTGAATTTTAGTTCACAATAAGCGTGCCGTACAAAAAATTAATAGCGATTTTTTTAAAGTATGATGTTGCGAAACTCGTGCGTTACGATCATTCTTCTTTTACGGGAATGATTATTTTACATCCGGCATAAAAAATTCGAGGTCAAACTTTTGTATTTTAAATCACGTTTTTAAAGCATACTTTCTAAATTTTAACACGCGTAACTTAATTTCTTTCTGTCGAGTTAAACGCTCACTGTTGTCAGAAATCAATATAATGTCACTCAAGTCATTTGATCTAGTAAAACGAGAGAAGCTATTTAGTCTGGCACTACGATCATGAGACAAAGACTCTGAGGCCGAGATCTATTAAAGTATAAATCCTGGATAATATCATACAGTTCACCCGCTGGGTACGCGCGCCGAACTGTTTCGATCATGTAAGTGTTGTAGCGCTTGTTTTGATATTGACAGCTGTTAAACGACTCTGCACAATTAATTTCTCTCGTACGACGAGCAATATTTAGTTATACGCTTGCATGGATTGTGCTGTGGTATTTGATGTCACCATATTATATTGTTTATTATTCATTATATTGTATGTATCTTTGTTGAAAATATCAAGCACTGAATAATAAATATTATAGTGCACTCACTCTCTTTGTTGAACGAGTAAGAAAACGTATGTTCTTATATACTTGCACGAATGGGTTTTATTAATGAAATTGGGATAATGTTTAAATTTGGTTTTTAATAAAGATCAATTTAATGAGAAATTAATTTCTTTTGCATAAAACGGTTTAGTTACACACGAAACGGTTCGAAATATAATTAGTTTTATTATGATAATCAACATCATCGTCGTCGTTATTGGGGCGGAACGCGGATAGTATAAAAATGTTAATGTTTAAGATTTGTGAAAATTACGGTAGCTATTTATCCTAAATATATTAATGTCATTCCTAAGCCTGTGCAAGCAGACTGTAACTGAACGCTTGGGACGACTGTAGAAAGGCTGTGAAACACTAAAGCGTGCATGAGATTGTTTCTTGTCTGTGTGTACTGTGAGTATAGCCGACTTTAGCAGTTAACTTACTTATAAAGACAGCACTCGTGTTTATTGTAGATATTGTAATAATTAACATTGAAAATATTCCAAACGTCCAACTCTGAACGTCCTGTTGTGGCAACACACGACTGCCTTTTGATTTGTAAATTGATTTCAATAACTTGTTAGTATTATTACAGTTTTCACGCGGCGAAGCTCGGTAACAAATAGTAGGAGACTGATTTTGTATAAATACATATTATATCGTTATAGAGATACTCCATAGCTTTTAAAATATTTTTTGTTTAAATCAATCCTGTATAAAGGTATCTACTACATAAGTATATTTAGATAACTGATAATATTCCAATTCTATAAATGTAAAATGACTGTATTTTATCTAAATCTAAGTATGCTAATTATTATTTAAAATTAAGTCAACTATTGTACAGCTTTCGTTTACGCTATTATTATTTGTAATTAAGTAAATATCTATTTTTAAGATACCTACTCATAAATTATCTAGTTGACTTGAATCTAGTTGATGACTCCTGTAAAGTTGTATAGAAATCATATCATTATTATAAAAAAAATATTAAAATAAATCGTTCAATCAAACTAAATCTTTTATTTCTACAAATTCAACAATAAAAGTACAGAATACAAACAGTTACAATAAAATTAAAAATAGTCATGGACATAGCAAATTAATGAACATCTATGAATTGTTTCAATAGAACATTCAATGTTATACAGTATTCTGTATCTACTTAACAACTAAATAAAATTGTGTATAATATTTTTTTTATCAAAAAATTCACTCAAACTTTGATCCTAACATAATATCGCATACTTCTAAAGTATTTATATCTTTTATAATCTTGATGAAGCCATGTTGTTTCAATTCTGAAAACCATAATAAAATGAACACTTTTTTTTCAAAAATCTTAACAAGCGTAATATTTTATGTATTATGTAGTATTAAGTATGTAATATGTTATGTAACAAACGTAATATATGTGTAGGATTGATAAGAATGGAATCTATCAAAAGAGTGTGGAACGAAGCGTTAAGATGTGAGTGAGAGAAAACGGAAAAAAGGGAAAAGAAAATAGCACACGGAATGACAGAAAAGAAAGATGGCGACGAATACGTTAATTAATTTTTAATTATTATTATAACAGAAAACTTTGGAACATTGGAAGTTTTATTTTATGCGCTGCGATCCCTATTCTACATAATATGTATAAATAATGTTCTAATTTGAAAGTACTCACTGAGCAAAGACGCGAAACAGCGGGCAGCAATAATTTTCTTGTATCCGGGAACGAGCGGCCCTTTGATTACGAGGCTCGTCACGGTAATAGGGAGGAGTCCGGCTTTTATATGCTTTAGAATTTTTATCATAGTTCCTTCAGTACCCCACTGGTCTCTGCAATTTTGTGATATACTCTATGAGAAACTGTTCTATTTGTCCTGTCGTTTATGTTTCAGAAGTTTATGCCGAAATCATTTTAATGACGATACGGAGCTTAACCATTATCTATTCAATTAAACCTACGTTAATTGCACATTTTATTACAATATTGACAAAATTATTGTCGTAAAAAAAATATTGGAATTTAGTATTAAAAAAATAAAGCCTCTCGAAAACCTTAGAAATACTGAAATGTAATATTTAGGTACCTACAATTTTTTGGTTCTAGTGCGATTTCGTCTTAAGATTTTTCAAAGTTATCGGGGAGTTACTTGTTTTATTTTTTATTGCTTAGATGAGTGGACGAGCTCACGGCCCACCTGGTGTTAAGTAGTCCACCGTCCACCTCGAGACAAGAGTTCTTAAGGTCTCAGTTTTTACAGTACAACGGCTGCCCCACCCTTCAAACCGAAACGCATTATTGCTTCACGGCCGAAATAGGTGAGGTGGTGGTACCTACCCGTGCGGACTCACAAGAGGTCCTACCACCAGTATTACGCAAATTATATTTTTGTGGGTTTCATTTTTACTACACGATGTTATTCCTTCACCGTGGAAGTCATTCGTGAAGATTTATTGAGTACGTATTAGAAAAATCGGTACCCGCCTGCGGGATTCGAACATCGGTGCATCGCTAGATACGATTGCACCGGACGTCTTATCCTTTAGGCCACGATGACTTCAATAGCGGTGAAAGAGTGGCGTTATGTTTTTTTTTTATCAACGCTAAAATTCGATTAGATTGAATCACTTGCCTATATTGAAATCTATACTAATATTATAAAGAGGAAAGATTTGTTTGTTTGTTTTGAATAGGCTCCGAAACTACTGAACCGATTTGAAAAATTCTTTCACTGTTTGGAAGTTACACTAATCCCGAGTGACATAGGCTATAATCTTTTAAAAATTAGGGATCCTTACTAAAACTTCAATAATTTAACCCTAGGTGTAAAAGAAATATCGTTGAAAATTTTGTTAAAGATCCGCGCGGAGCCGGAGTGGGTCGCTAGTATAAAATATATCTAATAACCGAATAAATCTTTTCGAATCCGTTGTCTGTTCAGAGTCCCCTAGCGACACTTTAGTCCGGTCCAGACTCCCTAGAGGTGTCTCTGAGCTCCCGCTGGCTGGTCTCGGAGGTCTCTGCGCGGTGGCCGCGTGCAGCTCCGCCGGGTGCTCCTGCGCGTCAGCCAGGCCGACCTCATGCAGCATGGCCGTGACGCTCCTCTCGCTGTCCTTCGGTTGTTCGTTGTAAATACTAATGTTTTCTGTCAAGATCGTTTTTCTCCGAGCTTGTTTACTGGAGGACGGCGTCGCTTGCCGTCCGAAATCTGGTACGTTTTCCTTTTCAGCTTGTGGATCTGTTAAACGTATTTACTGATCACTGATTTTCAAAATTAATAATAATCTCGTTTTTCTACAAAATGCAAAATTTATATACACACTGAAAATTTTGTGGTGGGGCTTATTTTTTGTTGTATGTTGATCAGACAAACACATTATATCAAATGTGATTAATTTGTGCCATGTTATAATTGTATTTGTTCAAGTATGGTTCCGTCAGATATTAATTCTGCATTGAAATTGTTAGTAATATGGTATTTTTAATTTTTCAAACACAAGATATTTTTCAATCATTCAAGAAATTTCAGTCTCAAAATCGCACGTTTGAAGGATTTGTGAAATGTTCACCAGTGCTCACGATTGGCTGTCAATAATACAATGTATTTTGCCGGAGTGCCGACGTGCAATGTATGTGGCTGTACGGTTTCCGATCAGTTTGGCCATCAGAGAGAACACAAACGACGCTCTCGCCAGTAACCGTCGCTGTGACTTACTGACTAACCGATGGTTATATTAATTTAAATCTTTCTAGATTAACATGACACGATAAGATTTTCTACACATAAATATCTTTTAGACTTTATTTTTTATGGTTTACACAAGAATTGTCTAAATTAAAAATAGAATTGTACCTGGTAGAGCCATGGTGATTTCTGTTCTCAACTGCTGGCTTTGTCTGAACGAAACGTATCCTATTGACCGTTGACGTTTTGGCTGTAAATAAAAAAGAATCGAGTGTTTTTCTTTAGATATGACAAACGATCATTTTTATGCGATCTCAAATAATTCTATTGTAATAAGTACTGGTCAAATTTTTAATATAGTAGACTAAAGAATAATGAAGCGTTACCCACTGCTAAGGATTATTTACGAATCTTATGTTAAGGAGGATGAAAGAGAACGTAATAGTTTCAGTATGACCGTGAATTGCACTCTGGCAGCGGGTTGTATGAAGGTAAGAGGGTCGTGTGAAAGAGTCAATATGCCAAGGATATATTTTTTTGATTGGGGGCTTACTGCTGTCCCGAAGGCCTTTCCAGTTTCACAAGGACAGGTGGGCGAGCACGGGTTCAGCCAGAAGGTTCCAAGGAAAAATCTGTACCACATGTTAATTGCTGGAAGTAATTCTGCGTTTCAAAGCCGTTGATCAGCTTTTATTTGATAAAACACATAAACTCACACTTTCAACCGCTTCACATTCGAGGACCCTCTTACGCGCTTGCATCTCAATTTTTTGTGTTGGCAACATAGATATATCCAAATTTTGTTCTATGGCAATTTCCGTGATGTTCATATCTTTCGTGAAGTTAATTTCGGTTTCGGTGACGTGCTCGACGTGTAACGGCTCTGTATGCGGCGGCGCGCCTTGCTGTGGCTCCTCTACCTCTTCGATCCTTTCTAACATCGACCTGACGCGGCTTCGGCGAGAACGCTGCATTGCTTCCTACAAAAGAGTGCACGTATGAAAGACTCCTGACATCATCAGAGAACGCATTTTTGAGTTAGGTATGTTAGTCAAGCATGAATTCAGAGTTCACACTCTGGTCATCGTTGTTGTCGAACCCGTCGCTTGCGACGAAGGGCTCGGCGAGTAAATTAACCTATAGACACAGCCCACTGAATTTCTCGCCGCATCTTCTTAGTAGGTCGCGTTTCCATTCCGGAGGCAGGTTTGAGCCCCGTGAGCCCACCTACTAGTCAGGACTACGCTAAAATGGTCTCTCAAAACCATCAGCTTTGGTAGGAAAAAAAAAGATAATTGTTCACAAATAATTTTAAAGATTAAAATCATATTATTAACTATAAAAAACAGTGTATTTCATCATAGTTTTGTCTATTTCGCTATCGACGTATCGATAACAAATAGTCTCGTGCTTATAACTGTTTTTCTAAATCTAGAATTTGCCATTACTAATACAATACAAATGTTAAATAACGTATATAATTTGTTAAATAATTATAAAATAATGTATATATATGTAAATGTATATATTTAAAACAATGTATATAAATATGTTAAATAATTGAAGTCTGTCATCTCTACCATTGATTAAAAAATTAACAACCCTGAGAAGAACCAGAGGAGCAAGCCCTATTTATATAGATACAATAAATAGGTCCGAAGTGAACATCTCATTTCCACACCGTGCTCACTGTTAGGTGATTGATTTTATAATATGCGACTATACAAGATAGTTTTTTTTAACCTTTCATACAGGAGCCATTTTGTTCTCTAAATATATATAATAGAATAATTTTCAAATGTTTGCTCTCATTCCTATCTACTTACTCGTAATACAAAAATGCGTGTACATTTCAGATAAACACAACGAAATAGGACACAGGGTTAGTTCGGTTATTCGTTGAAGTATCAAATAAAAACCAATGAATCGATTTTGATGAAACTTTAGGTGTCAATAGCGCACTTAAAAATATGGCATTTGGATATTCTTTACATTACAAGAATCGCAATTGTGAAACTTTACCTCCATTTCTCTCTCAGCGTATGGTCTTCCAGCAACCGGCCCCAGGTTCCTTACGTAGAGTCTTGTTAGCTTCAAAGAAAAGTTTGATCGTGCTTTACCGCCAACGTGACTCGGTGTCCGAAAAAGTATGTCCCAAGGCGTGCGGATCTCTATAATGTCGTCTGAACTATCCTGCAGGGGGGTAGTATGAAAATCGTGTAAAAATTCAGTTGCAATTTTACATTAAAGTAGGTTTTACAAAAAGAGGGTAGGCATTGATTGATAATATTTTATGCAATACTAGCTGACCCGGCAGACTTCGTAGTGCCTCAATCGATAAATAAAAGACCTAAACTTTTGTATAAAATACCTAAACTTAAAACAAACAAAAGGAATCCGTCCGACGTATTGACACATTAAAGGGAAAACAAAATTGTTATTTTTATTTAATTCCGAGCATTTTCATATTTATCTACCTTTCAAGCCTTCTCTGGACTTCTACAAATAATTCAAGACCAAAATTAGCCAAATCGGTCTAGCCGTTTCTCTCGAGTTTTAGTGAGACTAACGAACAGCAATTCATTTATATATATATATAGATGTTAGGTCTAAAGCCTATTAGAGAAGAGCCTACAGCAGTTCGTAAGTTTGTTTGGAAAAATGTGTTGGTTTGTTGAAAGAGCTTGTGACGAAAATGTGATTTGAAAATTTTAAATGAATGATTTAGAGAGCAAGCCGATGTACCTAAGATATAGTGCATATTATTATATCAACGTAAAACTATTACGCATCTCAAATGCAATTAATTTATGTCGTGTTATAATCGTATTTGGTCAAGTATGGTTCCGTCAGATACTAATTATATATTTGAAATTGTTAGTAATATGGTATTTTCTTTTTTTAGTTTTCGCGACTGGTATCTCAAATAAAATCAAATCAAATCAAAAAATTTTTATACAACATAAATGAAAGTACATACTTGTTGAATGTCAAAAGAACTACCGCCAATTCACAAGAACTAGCCTCCGTCCTGAGAAGAATTGGCAAGAAACTCAGCGGGCATGTCTTTTTTTTAAATATTAGATTGTTTTTCTTAAATAGTAGATTTTATTTTAAATATTCATTTTTACAATGAGTATTATAACGTAACAATTATTACAAGTACTATTATTGATCGAAGATTACAATATTGAAATGCCCGGAGCGAGCAACTCATTCCCACTTTGTGCAATCTTCTAGATAATCATTGACTTTATAGTAAGCTTTATTGAACCGATGTTCTTTAATAGTTTTCTTAAACCTATGTATATTGTAGGTTCTGAACATCTTGTGGGATTTTGTTGTACAGGCGCACTAATCTAAACCTAATTAAACATAAAGTATTAGAAACTAATAAAATGGAAATGACAAACACGAGCTTAAACCGTAACGGTAGCTATTGTAACGCTAGTGATTATGACAAAAACCGCAGCAACTACCTCGCATCTCAACTCCACGGCCGGGTTTTCTATTCTGGCGCGAAGTAAATTTCCTCCAAGTTTTATTTTCTTATCGACTATTAACTTATTCTTAATTCTGCGTCTTTTTGTTTGTGGCTCTAGTTCTTCTAATTCCTGTGATGATTAAACGTGTATTATCAGAACAGAGTTAAAATGCACTACGAAGCGCGTTTAATATAGATTAGATAAATTGATACTTTTACGCTGCGATTAATTAATTGGTAGGATGAAAATCCTACCAAAAAATAAGAAGATTTTTTCGCTCACTAGGAAAACTTTTTCACTCACTAGGAGCTCTTTTTCGCTTGCTAAGAAAACTCTTTCGAGCTCACGGTCGATTTAGTGTCACGTAACCCATAAATAATCACAGCGTGAATACCACCATTAACCTCGGGACATGAGGTATGTCTTAATCGTATTGTGAAACAGCTTTTTTAACCTTCAAATCAGTACGCGTGACTGCTTCGTGGTGGAATAGCCAGGGTGGTGGTACCTACCCGTGCGGACTCACAAGAGGTCCTACCACCAGTAACAATCTTGATTTAATATCGACACATCTTTTTGTGTAATATACATACTTCACTGATTCTAAACTAAACTAAAGGCATAACAGTAAAATTTAAGTTATATAAGTATATCGTAAATATGGCTTACTTCTAATTCGATTTCATCAATTACTCGCTGTTCATTACTAATTTCTAGAATTTGTTTTGGTTCAGTCGCTGCGAGCTCAGGCACCGCATCCTCCGTTAGGTTTTTACTGTTTCATTGATATTTTAAAAATGTTATACAATTCCTATAATAATATATTTCTAGAACTTCTTTAATCCTATTCTATTCTTTTAGTGTATTGCTAACCGTAATTTTTAAATTTCATACTTTCAATCAAAATCAAACCTGTCCAACCAAATCAATTCAAATGTTTATTTATTGGTCACACAGACTTTAGATTTATTGGGAACTGAAGAGTTATTTTATGTGGAACTTGTGAATTTTGTTGCTGACTGTACAAGTTTTTAAGAATAACGGAACCGACATCATATTAGGCATATATCTGCTCGCAGCTTCCTTAAAGCTTATTCGTTGGATGTATTATATTTACAGCTTATAATAGAGCATCATATTCAATTGATAATTTTTACCACCTTCTTTGCTTTTCGACATTGCGTAGAAAATTTTTTGATGTGTTACAAAATTGTGGATTCTGGTATGGACTCATCATAGGTTAAATAAATTTAGGAAGACGGAACTAATGGATGGGATGATTTTTTTTCTTAAAGATGTGCTCGTTGGATGACATTGAGACTAACTTCTCCGTTTGAGGAATGTTGAGGTCAGGAATCGGGAATACAGGAATTTCAGGAATTTCTGTGGGATTAACGAAAAATTATTAATCTAATTGCTATGTATTTGTAATAATTATTTTTTGTTTACTTTTACTGAGATTGGCTTTTATACGGATCTGGGTGTTTTAAGACTTGTTTTATTGTTTTAAGCATAATTTTTTTTTCCGTTTGCTGCTTTAAGAAGTGACCTTTAGATATCTACTTTAACACATTACAAAGGAATTTAGCTTTAATATCTTCAAACAGAAAAGAAGAAACTATGAATACCCGCCCGAATATACCTCGGAATTCGAAACATGAGGATTTATGAAAATAATATGATAGTAGTCATCTCATAATAGCAATATCCCGAAATAGTTGAAGTAACACACTGACACGTTCAAATAACCAACGAACAGACTATATTTATTAGACTATATAAATCACTGCATCAAAATCGAAAAAATACGAAGTAGATGAAAACTTTTCAAAGTATACCTAGTCAGGTCATAATTTCTGTCACATGTTTGATATAAAATAATTGAAAGAAGTTTATTCATTATGTAACCATTCATATACCAAAATGAACTTAACAAAACATAGATTCTTTGACACTAAAGTTTATTCAAAATGACCTCCGTGATTTTGAATACAGGCCTTCAATCTGCGCGGCCAGTCGTCTATCGCAGCACGAACGAGGTCCATGTCAATATCGGCGGCTGCCTTAATCAAGGATGTCTTGAGTGACTCCAAATTGGGATGAGGCTTTGAGCACGCCTTTTCCTCCAAGTGTTGCCATATCTTGTAATCTAACGGATTCAAATCTGGACTGGAGGAGGGCCAGTCTTCGTGCCGGATGAAGTCGATTTCACGCGCCGCCAGCCAGTCTTGTGTGCTCTTCGCTCTATGAGCTGGCGCCGAATCTTGTTGGAATACCCAGTGCCTGTTATTGAACATGGTATGAGAAACAGGTTCCACAAGGTTCGTCAGGACTGTATTTTGATACACAACTGCATTCGTTTTTACACCTTTCTCACAAAAATGTACCTCTGTTAAGCCCCAATAAGAAACTCCCAACCATACCATGAGCGAGGATGGAAAATGACCTCGTTGGACACGCGGAATACGGTTGCTCGCTTCTTCACTACTGTGTGCGTACACCTTATCATTTTGTTTGTTGTAGCTCTCTTCTACGGTAAAAATTTTTTCATCCGAAAAAAGAATTTCCCGATATTTTTTTCCCGCGTACCGCTTCAACAAAGCGCGGCATCTCTTCAGTCTCAGGTCCATTAGACGAGCATTCAAACGATGTCCTGTTTTTCTTCGATATGCCCGAAGCCCTAAGTCTTCATTTAACACCCTTTTCACCGTGGTTCTGCTTAACCCCATCTGAAGGGCCAACAGTTTCTGCTTACGTTTGGGATTTCTTTGAATTCGCGCCTTCACAGCTTTTATCACTGCTGGAGTCCTAACAGACCGAGGGCGACCACTTCTTGACCTGTCATCTACACTAGAGTCTTCATTGTATCGTTTGATGGTACGATAAACGAATCTTTTGGTTATATTCAAATTTTTCAGTATGTTAAAAATTTGAATTGGCGCGTAACCGCAACGATGCAACGCAATAACTGCAACACGGTCTTCTTTAAGCGTCCACTCCATATTTAAAAATAAGTAAAATTCTAAAAGTATACATTTTTATTTTCATGAACAATTCGAAATTCGAATTCAATAAACTTTTTTGTGGCCAGCATTCTAAAAGAAAAGTTTTTACTGTGTGACAATACTTATGACCTGACTAGGTATTAAAGTCGATCTGCCTTGGGAATTTTCCCGAAATGTCACTAAAATCGGTAAGTAAACGCTTTACATTTATAATTTCGTTTAAAAGATTACGTTGTTAGATTTTTTTAATCACCTAAATAATTAATTAATATACTAGCATTTACATGCGGCTTTGCTCTTGTTAATATAGAAACTTTTTTTTTTTGGGGGAATAATTTTTTTTTAAAGTTACTCTATAAATATTTCATGATGATTTTAGTTATAAGTAGTTAAGACTTGAAATTGTAACTAATTCAATTTTTCATTTATAACATTAATAGTGATAGTATTGATGTAGTTTACGTCAAATAACTTACCTGGCGCAATTTCGGGGCCAAGCAAAGCTCCTTCAGCAGAAACTAAAATCACAAATAGGTAACAAAAAATTTATACTTCGATTTGAAGCTCCTCATATCTCAAGTAACGCAACCATACTATGTCAAGTTGGGATATATTTACGAGTGGATGGAAAAATAGAGTGAATTTTTTTGTCTAAAGTCTAAGGTGTGTTGAATTAATTAGGTAAGCATCAAAATATTCCAACACATTTTGTAAATGTCGTTTTCATAGTTGGTTTATATGATTTTAATACGCTTTTATTATCTTCAGACGTATGTATGTTAGTATCTTTAGTATGTAACGGAATCTTTGAATATGATTTTGCCCCCTTCAAAACGTCGGATTAACTCGAATTTTGGTATACTTGTTAAGGACCGATGACAATATAGTATTAAAAAGAAATTGAAAAAGTTGAAATTCAACTAAAAATGAAAAATAAATAATAGTTTAAAAAAACTAGCAAAATACGCTTTTATAGGAAATCCAGCTAAAAAAAAACGAAAATAAATTTTAATAAATTTGAATTAAAAATAGTGTAAGAAAAAATGATTTTATTGTAAAAAAAGCGTGGGGTGCATGGTATCAGTAGTTATAAATATTTTATGAACAGATATGAGTAGAAGGGTTATTTTGATAATATAATTTTCTATATTTTAGACTATTAATAACTATTATTTTAAAAATAAAAGGATGACTGTGTTTATGTTCCACAAGGACGCGTCGACCGTGGGTCAGATTAAGAGCGACGTGATTCATTTTTATTTAAATTACGAAAAAAAAAAAAAATATACCCACCTCTACCAAACATGGATACGTTTAACTCCGAGATCCTCTCCATTTGAGGGTCGACTGGCAGACGAGTTTTGTCGTGGGATTTATCAGTAGAGTCGAGCGGCAGGTCTAGCCCGCTGTGCTGCGCCGCGGAGCCGTCCGCTTGCAGCATCATCTCGAGAGTTCTATCTGTCAGTAATTGGAGCGCTACATCCGGATTCCCCTCGCCGAAGTTATCCTGATGTAAAATTTAAGACTTGAGTTCCATTAGGCATGCGAGGACCCCCGGTCTTCGGTGTATCGCGTTCCGACCTGACAGGCTGGTTCTGGCCCAGCGGGGTATCCCGGAACACCAGCGGCATCGCCCAGGCGGCCTGGTAGGGCCGCCGTACCGCGGAGACCGACGACGTTGGTCGTCGACTATCGCCTCGACGACCCGTCGGTCGGGCGTCCTCCTCGGGGTGGCGCCACGTGTCTGGTTGTAGTGTTGACCGCGGGAACCCCCTTACTCTGACCGGGTTTTGACCCCGGACGGAGATCGGACGTCGGGTGTAAGAGTGCAGGGGAGTCGTTTAGTGGGTAGTGCCCTAAAATTCCTTGGGCCCGCGGTCTGCTCCCAACACCTTGCAGATCGTCAAGTCCCACATACCCCGCGCGCCCCCTAGGCGCGGGGACCTCGTAGGAGGTTCGGCCCCCGGCCCGAAAAAAAAAGGCATGCGAGGACCAAGTAAATATTAATTGACTAACTTAATCCGTCCGCGCAATTTTCGTAAAAAGGGTTACAATGTTTTTGCTTCACGTATTAATATATAGATATTCAATTTCACGGTCAGTTGGTATTAGGTGGTTTTAAGGGTCCATAAGAAATATCTTGAAACTTGAGATCGAAGTCTGTCCCGGCTATAAATAAGAAACCAAGATACCTCATGGCAGAAATGGACAGGATGATGGTACCTACCCGCGAAATATCACAATACGCTCTACCACCAATATAATTTCACGAAAAATAGTAGGAAATTTTTCAATTTTTGTATAATTCATTTTTAGTACTTTACTCATCAAGCACGCGACGTATTTTTATCTCGCAAGCCAAACAGCCATGGCTGCAAGCAACTGTTTATTCCGAGTTTTTATGGTTAACTGAAGTAACTTGTTACCTCATATTGACTTACGTTTTGCGGAAGTTGTAATACCGGTATTGCTGCTTCTTTCAATGTTATATCTTGAACATTAGTAACGACGTTTCCGCTGCTCTGTAAAAGAACATATTATTATTATTATGGAATAATTTTACACAGTCGTTAAAGCAAGCAACAGCAAAGTAGGTTACGCACGTCAGTTTTTTTTTATTGCGATACATTGCGCGCTATGCAAAATGTTTTTGTAAATAAACAAAATATAATAATTATCAAATATGATTTCATGTAAATACGAGTTATATTTTTCGGGAAGTGCTCAAATATGGCTTGTTTTAGTACTTTAACATCGAAAAATGTTTTATATGTTATATATAACGGACTATTAATGGAGAGGTATCGTTTAGAGACGAACGAAAATGCATATCCGGAACTTTTGAACGACATCTGATTTATTATTATGTTAAATCATCTTCAAAGCGTCAAGTTCAAAAACAAAGCCTAGCCTTCATACATACTACTATTAGATAACCAAAATTGTAAGAATTCACATTGAAAACTTATTTTAAACACAGGAAATATTTGTCTATGATTCTTGCTACGACCTAATGAACGTGCCATAACATTAAATTTTACCTGAATAAGTTCTTCGATTCTTTGTTCGTTTGGATCTTCACGGAGCACGAACTGCAGAAGCTGCGGTAGTTGCCGGGGGCGAGCTCGGTGTGGTCTTTCTTCATCATCAGACACATCGTGCACATTCCACCTGATTCCGTTAAAAGAATTATTGTAATGGTTTTTAATCCTATTTATTTTTCCCACCAATACTAATAGCCTTGAGAGGCTATTTCAGCTTCACCCTAGCGTGTAGGTGAGCTCACGGCACTCAAATCAGAAGTGCTGCTAACACTGACCCTAGCAAGAGCAGTGCTTCGCAGAATATACCACCGGATCGGAAACGCGACCCACTGAGAAGATCCGACGAGAAACTCAGTGGGCTGGCATTAATTTACTCATCGAGCCCTTGGTCGCAAGCGACGGGTTCGGCGAGGACGGTGACCGGTGCTTGAGGTACCTAAAAGCACCGTTAATGGATCGGGAGGATCCGTAATGATGTGTTTAGGGCGACGTCGACTGTTTACCATTCGGTCTACAGGATCGGGTATGAATTTAATCCCACAGATTGCCTTAGCTACCTACAGGGACGTCTTAAATTAGGCTGGGGCCCTTGGGCACACAAGAATTTGAGGCCCTTTTGGAAAATAAAAAAAGCAAATTATAATAACATTTTTTTACTGAGTATGACCATTTATTATAGGTAATCAAATACGGTATGATATAATATGTCATTAATGTTATTCGAATACTGCTGGTTTTTTGGTTACGATCACGATAACGGAAACCGTATAAATGTGTGAGAGAAATTGTCGGTCCTTAGGGGCCCCCTGAGAATGGGGGCCCTGGGCACGGGCCCCGTGTGCCCTTATGGTAAAGACGGCATTGGCTACCTACAGACATTAATTCCAATCTAGACCGCCTTACTTTACTTAGAACTATCTACTGTCAGGTCGCAGTGCTACTAGTCAACGATGAATAAATAGTTACGTTTAATTATTGTAAAAATATGTTATCGTTACTTACTTTTTGTTTGTGTTTTTTATGACATGAGCATTTATCATGCACAAGTCACCTGAAAATATAAAATTGTGCTTTTATGACATTATTCCAGTTTGTTTACTTGTAAAATGAATGAATTAATCTGGAAGTCATCGTAGCCTAAAGGATAAGACATCGGTATACTTATACCGAGTGATGCGACAAAGTCTGTGTTCGAATCCCGCAGATAGGTACGAATTTTTCTAAGCACATGTTGACAAATAGCTTCCATTTTACTGGAAAACTGAGACTTAGAATTCATATCTCAAGGTGGGTGGCGGCATTTACGTTGTTGATGTCTATGGGCTCCAGTAACCACTTAAAACCGATTGGGCCATGAGCTCATCCACCCATCTAAGCAATAAAACATAATTATCAATGTTTTTAGATACATTAATATAAGCTGTAAGGATTTTTTTATTTACAAAGGAAAATAATACAAAACGTATTAGTCTCTAAATATAAAAAAAAAGGTCAACATATAATTTTAAAAGATAGTTATTTCTTAAGTCAACTAAAAGATTAGTCTGTGGAGTGAAAGTAATAAATGGATACTTACTAAGAAAAACTGTGACCTTCCTTTGATAGAGTCTTACTAGTCCCCTCATAAGCTGAGAGCTGAGTCTGAGAGAAAATCTGTTTGAAGGTCGGCCAGATTCATTATTCATTACTTCAATCAAATCATCACTAGAATAAAGACATTTCAAAATATACACAATAATAAAAAAATTGAGAATATGACAACGTATTATGTTTTGTTATGATGAAATAGGTAAACTTTTTTATTTTCATCAAACTGTATAGATTAGCTTATGGCTTGCCTTATGTTAGGTGGTGCCCCAAGACTGGGTAGACAACAAAATAGATGGTACATCCATTGAGACACAGTTGAAATCTCAATTATAGTGGAATAGCATTTATTCTATCGTTTATATTGGAACAGCTGGTTAATCCTCAATAGACAGGATGGTAGTAGTGGTAGTAGTAGTGTGGGCAAAGTTGTAAGTTCAATTTTGAAATTAAATATTGTTTCTTTGTGTTTGAAGAATTTTGCAAAGAGTAAATACCTGTTAGTAGTAAATAGCATAATAAATAATAATGTAATAAATAAATACAATTAATAGTAATTACTCGTTGTTTAGCAATGAGTCTACAGACATAATCATAGTATTGTTACTTGAAATTTGTTTTTTTTACATTAAACCTTGCTATCAGTATTAACTAAAAGTACTCCAATCGTTGATTTATATTTCAAGTCTCTGACTCCAATCCTAAAATTGGAACTTCCCCTATGATTTATCTCATATAAAAACGATAGTCTTATAAATATGTAAGTGCATATTTTTGTATAAATTTTTTTCACAGTTAAATATTATAGTTAACTAATGTATAGTTAGCTATTTGTAAAGTATAATGATAATCATTATTCACTTGATTTTGAGTGTGGCGAAAACAATATAAATTCGACAACTCACAATCTACATTTTACATTCTCTAACTTACACCAAAGTTTGTCATTTCTTACGTTTTTAATAGAAAATATCTACATCACGATCGATCTGAACAGATTTTTAATGTATCCACTTATTTGTTGTTATTACTTTTGGATTTTCGTGATTTTTTGTCTTTCTAATAGAAAATTGATGTAGAGTTTTCGCGGCAAAACTAGAATTCTACTTAAGTGAAAAGTAAAAAGTTTTCTACTAAGCAAGATGATTAGACAGGCAATATAAATGAGTACTTAAAAATATTACCATATTCTTCTAATATCTTGAGACCAAAGTTGTCTGTGTGTTATGGTTGCAAATCTCAGTGGCCAAGAGTCAGCGACCCAGCACAAATAAAATCGTCCTCCCCGTTTTAAGGAATCGACCGGATAAAACATTTTGTAGTTGGAAATTTCTTATTTTTAAGAGACTATCTTATAAAAATTAGAGACAAGAGCCACTTGTGCAGTCAATTAATAACAATTAAACTTAGTAAAGAATATCTTAAAACCAGTCGAAATCAAATCAAAGAGACGCTTATTTTCGCGCCTTTAGCTCCATTGGTAGCAGTGACAGTTATTTGACGTCATATCCTTAATTCTGTTCAAAAATCTCCAGTTTAAAAAAAATGAAAAGCACGGAGCAGTAATAAAATTACGTTGAACGATTTTAATCTTTAACACACTTTTTGGTTTACCTATGTGTTAATCGTGGCTAGAAAATAGTAAGAAGAAAATATTCTTTTTTCAAGGTGGTGATCGATTTTTACATTACCATCAGTGCATTAAGTTTTCATTTATTTCTCATATGGGTGAACGAGCTCACGGTCCACCTGGTATAGTGTTGGACAAGTCCAACTATAGAACAATATTTTTAATAATCGGCCTGCTGAATGATAAATTCTAACGAACTTTGTTTAATTCTGGTATTGTGTAGCTTCAGCTGACAATCGAACGTAAGGTACATAACTGCAATCACTTTGACTGACTTCAGCTATAATCTACCACGCGTTTTGCTCTTGATCCAATTGACTGCTGTTGTTATCGTTTCTCACTACATATATTGAAGAAATCCGGAACGTGTCGTTAGCATCTGGAGATACAGCAGACTTTATATTTCAATAATTTTTAGGTAATTTTGTGATAGATTTTGGGATATCTTTAACCTGTTAGTGATTGCCTGACCTCATAAATATCACAATGTGAATGCTGCGATCCATTTTGAGTTAAGAAGTCCAAGTATCAATTGTACAGGAGCTGTCCTACCCTTCAAATTGGTGGCACATGGCAAATACGCAGCAGTAATTAGCAGAACGGTGGCAATAAATAGTACCTAGCACACCACCGCTAAAAAAGTAGTGACAATTTTGTTGGCACGACGACCATGTAATTGTTTTCCAGAAGTTAAATAAGCGTCTGTTAAATCCTGACTACGAGAATGGATCCATTCTGGATAAGTAATGGAAAACTATGAAAGTAATTGAGACGCCGTCTAAGTACAGTATTTAGGTTTTTCTGTTTCTGAAAATATTTTGTATACACAATGTAATAAATAAATCAGTTCAGAAATTCACAGAACTTATGGTGTCAATAGTTATAAATATTTTATTGACAGATATGAGTAAAAGGATTATCATTTTGATAATATCTTAAAAAGTAGTCTACGATTTGTTACAATAAATTTATTTTCTATTTTTTTGTTGGATTTTCTATAAAAGCGTTTTTTATTCATTTATTTTTTAGTTTAAGTAGCATTATGCATCATAAATTATTATTATTCATGTAAATTCACGCGAACACAACCGTTTCCAATTTGCTAAGTAAAAAAAAGAAGGCGCTCAAATGAATTTGTTTTGAATGCCGAAAGAAAAATGACGGGTCTGTTTAAAATATTCAATTGTCATCGGTCCTTGATAAGTAAGCCAAATTTCGAGTTAATCTGATGTTTTGAAGGGGTCAAAATCACGTTCAAAGATTCCGTTACATACATACTAACGTACATTAAGAAGCTAATAAAAGCGTATTAAAAATAAAACACAATGTATATTTTTAATTTTATTTTGGAATTAAATTAATATCTACATATCTGAACATTTGAAATTATATTAGGAAAACTAAGCTATCACTGACTAACATATTACAAGGACACATTTTCAACTCAAGATTATACTGGTAGTTAGTTTTTTAATTTGAAAATTTACCAGCAACATAAAACTAAAGATTATAAACCTATGGGAGTCGTGTTCGCGTTACTAAATTTCGAACTGTTTAAATTCTTTTCCAGTTGCTTCGATTGCTGACTTTAATCTCAACAAACTTGATTTGTTAATGTGCTCTTTTGGTACACCTTGTTGAATAGCATCACTCAGCAACGCTTCAGCAGCCGCGATGTTGTTGTTCAGTAAGTAATAGTTCATTAATCTTGAATACGCATTACCTAATGACCTGGTTGGTAAAGTTTTATTTGTTTTCAATGCGTTTATTAATTTCATTATTATTTCTGGTTCGTTTTTAACGAAACTCTCTTGTAGCAGTCTTCTGAATACAATGACCGGTGCCGTAATAAGCCATTTGTTCCATAAGTCTCGTGCTTCTTCGTCTTTTCCTGCCAATATCAATTCCATCCAAAGTAAATTAACTGGCGTGGTTATACCCTTCGACGCTGCGATTTCCGCTATTTTGGTGCCTGAAAAAAAGATTGACCTAGTGATAAAATTCAAGCTTGGCATGCGTCTGTATTATATTGTTTTTATAAAGTACGAAACGTACTAACAATTTTATAAAATAATCGGCGGGCTGTTCGTGTCTTTTGAAAATTGTAGGTTATCATTTTAGGGAGGAATTTCTAAGAAATTAATGTTTAGCTTAGGTATTATGAATATGCTTGTGTAAGGAACCCATTGTGATTAGTCTTGTTTTAGTATTTATGTATTCTTAATTCGAGCAATAAATTTTGAATTATGATTAAAAATAATTATTTTTACATAGACAATCTTGTGGTTGAATTGATGTCAAGCAGTTACGGAGCATATAGCCACCGCAACTGACTCTTGCCCTTAAGACGCGACATCGAAGTTACATTCCGACATATCATTTCAAATGTTCTAAGCTGCGAATAAAGATTTTTTTTTAAATGTGGTCTAATTGCCTTTCGATTTTTACAAATTATCAAACGGTGTGATGTAACAAAACAAATAATAATTATGATCTATTATTCGAAACCAAGTAATTTGATTGTGTTTATCCATACATTCATATTATGTTAGTTGAAATTAGGTAGTAGTGTCAAAAATGACTTACATTTTTGGACGAGCTCTGTATCATTAACCAAGTTTGCTAGTGCACTACTTCTAGGGAATTTCCTGAGAGCTATTTCCAAATCCTCGCGTATATTCGCTGCTTCGACAGATTCCAATAAGTTGTCAATGTGTTGTCCACCAGCGCCTCTTCTGAATATCGCCAAAGTCAGTTTATCATCGTACGTAACTTTACGTTTCGTGTTTTCGCTGATATTCTTTCCTAGTTGCTGAATCTTTTCAACGTTTCCCTCCTCGGCCAAATTCTTCAATAAATATTTAACAACATTCGATTTGGGCATGGTACCTACTTCAATCGATTTAAGCAAAACGTCCATTGCTTGTGCCAAGTTTCCGTCTTTAACAAGGGCCTCGATGTTTGTGGAGATTTCGGCCTTTGTTGGTTTCGGAGGTACTTTAGGTGTGACAATTTTTTGGATTATGTCTTCCTTTTTGGACTGAACTTTTTCTATTTTTTCCGGAATTATAAACGGTACATCTCTGTTCTTTGATTTCAAATGGTTTCCGAGGTAGACAAGAAATTGGTTACTCGGTACTTCGCTTTCTTCTTGAAGCAGTGTCCATAGTCCGAGGGCTTTATCGGTTTCATCGGCATTACAGTATGTAACGAGTAAATGGTAGAAGATGTTTGAGCGATCAATGTGAGAAAGTTCTTTCGTTGCCTCAAGTAATCCTTCCAAGTACTCTGATTTCCCTTCCTGTTGAATTAAAAAAATTAGGTTTTGTGATAACTTTTTTACCAACGAAAAAAATATCGCATTGCAATTTTATCTTAAATGGTTTCTAGGGGCACTGAATATCGTCGTCAACTACTAAGAACTAATTTCATAACTTTCATTTTCTGGATTTAAAGTACACGGCAGAAAAAAAACTCTAGCACCGCAATAGTAGCGTTTTATGAATGCTGCTAGAAGATTCGCCGTAATGGTTGTTAAGCAGTATGTGAAACTATGGAGGGTAGAAGTAAGGATCATACTCTTTGTGTATGAAAAAAAGAGTCCGTTGAAAAGCGACTAATTAAGGTGGCGCCACCGTAGCAAGTGATATGGTTGCCAAGATGTACGAATGACTGTTTACCTACCTAGTCTAACCTGATGTATATACGTATATATCGGATTATACTCGTGTAAGATGTCCTACAAGGGGTATATCAAACTGAAACGTGCTGTATTATCAACAATGTAGATCACGTTAACAATGAAAAAAAAAGGAAGTCGAAATGAGTAATTTCATACAAAAAATCATTTATTCATGTTTTCAACTGTTCGACGACAGCCCTGAATTTATACAATAAATAGTAGTTTAAAAAAACTAACAAAATACGCTTTTATAGAAAATCCAACTAAAAATAGAAAATAAATTTTAATAAATTTTAATTTAAGCGTGGGGTGCATGGTATCAGCAGTTATAAATATTTTATGAACAGATATGAGTAGAAGGGTTATTTTGATAATATTCTGAAAAGCACCCTAAGCTTTTTTTTACAATAAAATCTTTTTTTTTACACTATTTTAATTCAAATTTTACTTTAATATTTATTTATATTAATTATTAATTAATAAATAATACTTTCTATAAAAGCGTATTTTGTTAATTTTTTTAAACTATTATTTATTTTTCGATTTTTAGTTCAATTTCAATTTTTTCATAATTTTTTTTATATTAAATTATCATCGGTCCTTAATAAGTATACCAAATTTCGAGTTAATCCGAGGTTTTGAAGGGGGTCAAAATAATGGTCAAAGATTCCGTTACAAATATATGTACATACTTCTGAAGCTAATAAAATCGCATTAAAAACAGTACCGTTAGGCAGTTTCTTTTGTTAAAAGTGTCAGAACGAGATAGACAATAACAAATTCGTCGAATACGATAAAAAATGCAACCATATTACTAGGTCCATAAGGCTTAAAAAATCAAAATAAATTTCGACAAACTTATTACGGTGAATGTAACTAAATTTCACCTTTATTGCAAATATAAAAGAAGCTGTTTGATGTGCCGACGCTGGTGGAGTGTTTAAGTGTCAATCAGTTGACAACATGTGACCGTTTTTAGTTTTTTTTTAACTCAAATATATCTCCATATCATCGCGTTTGCTGCGTTTTTGATTTTCTAAAGCAATCCGAAGTCATTGGGTTTTTTTAAAATATTTTTTACATTAATCAATTTTTTGCGGGATTACGGAGGCATTTACGTTGTTGGTATCTCTATGAATCATATACGATACCTTACGTAAAACATAATTCAAGAGTTGGCAGAATAATATGTAGTTTGTTATGTTCAAGTATTATACTTTTTATTCCGAAACTATTTGTTTACTTGGGAATATATACTTTTTTCGTCGAATATATATTTTAATAGAACATTATCTACAGTTTTCGACTTGATATACCCTTTGTGGGACACCCTGTATGTAACACCAACATTTTTTTATTGCTTAGATGGGTGGACGAGCTCACAGCCCCCCTGGTGTTAAGTGGTTACTGGAGCCCATAGACATCTACACTGTAAATGCGCCACCCACCTTGAGATATAAGTTCTAAGGTCTCAGTATAGTTACATGTGTAGAGATTTTTTTAATTAAAAAAACATTATATATTATATATTTTTAAAAGATTCACCTCAACGTATCGCTGACAAGCGTCATCCAAGCGTCTGTGTCGAGCCTGCAATCCTGGTGTTTCGAGAATACGACGTGCCTGTCTCAGTCTTCCGCACTCAACGAACGCAAGTACTAAATCATGTAGAATGTTTACTTCACCATGTATCTATGAATGTAATAAAATCAATTAATATGGCATACTTTAATATACTTTCAAAAAATATAGGGCAATTTAAATTGAAAAAAATCACCTGTGTACTTAAATCAGCAAGCCACTGTAACTGGTTAGCATCTTCCTTCATAATTAATGCCTTCATCAATTCTCCCTTCCAAGGAGTGCAACGATATTGCTTGCAGCATTTCTCAAATTCAACTAGAGCGCCTTGTACGTCATTGTTAAGAAGGTACGCTTTGATTGTAGGACCAAATAAAACATTCGAAGCCTGGACATAATTGTTTTCGAGCAACGTTTTTGTTACTTCTTTTACCTGAAAATTTAAATTTATTATGCCTGGCTCAAACAGGAAAACTTAGGAATTACCAGTCCCATTTGTATTATTATAGGATTGGACAAATACTCTATGACGGCTCCCGTATTTGTAAGCCTAGTCTAGTCACATCTACTTATTAATGTAATAAAGAGCTGCTGCAGTGTTAATAGATTTGAAAAAAAATATATTATTAAGGCTTCATTATAGTTACTATGTGCAGCCTGTTTAACAAAACAGATACTTTTTTAAATAAGTTTTCATGTTTAAAGTAAATTCAAAGACACACTCACTTTTTCACAATCCTTTTGTTCAGCTAAGCTGTTTAAAATTTGCCAACATTTAGAATTAACTAAAAATCCTACATTTTCAGCATCAGAAAATTTGTTTTCTATTAAAAACTGTATGGCTTCATCATATCTATTGGTTCGGAATAATGCTTGTGCCATTTGAATCAATTTGAGACGACTCAATATGAAATCTTCATTCTTTGATTCAATTTCTGTTCTAATTTCTTTTGCAAGTTCAATCTCATCATTTTCACATAAAAATTCAAACAACTGTGCTAAAATGGCTGTGTTTAACTCGAAATTAGACAATCTAAGTTCACTCAGAAAACTTTTGACTTTTTCGATGTTTTTTTCATTAATATAAGCACAGAGCAGTTGTTTTTGAAGACGGTTCACATTGGTGCCCTTTTCCTTTAATCTAGCGATGATGCTTTCGATTTCGAGCGCTGAACGATCATTAGCTTGTTCAGTCCTCCGTGGACTCTCGATTGGAACAGGCTCTAATTGAGACGAACTGAGTTCTGATAGTAATTGCGACACCTTCGTTGTCATATTTTCACCGAGGTATTGCTGTATACCTTCAGCTGTCTCAATGTCAATACTAAGCCCTTTGGCATAAGCAGCTTCTAAAATACCTTCACTTTCATTCTTAGGTAAACTTTTAACTGCAGATTTGATAATGCGACCGATATCACGTATTTCATTTTTACTATCGTTTTGAGCTTCGTCAGTAGTTGAGTCTTGTTCGGACTGAAGAGGCGGCTTGCTGCTGATAACATGTAAAATGTTGATGAAGGAATTGATATCTTTACTTTTGTAGAGTGCATTAACTAAGGGCCGCCCCACTAAATTGTACTGCCCTCGAGGACGGTATTGCAACGCTATTTCTGATGCCTCATTTATTCTTCCCAATTCCAGGAGATGGATCATCACATTACGTGCAGCATGTATAACTGGCACATTCGCTATTTGAAGTTTAACGATAACGCTTTTCGCATTACTGTTTGTGGTCAAGTAAGGTATGACATAATCCCTTAATGTCTCTCCTGATGCTGGAATATTATTTGTGGACATGTCTCGCAGTATTTGCAAGAGACCTTCTTCATCTTTTTCTTTACCTTTCTTTACAAGTAAAGGCCAATAGTAATGCTGTCTAACTTCTTTACCTTCGTTTACCAGTTCTTTAAATAGCTTCTGAGCTAGTTCACAATTTCCTGATTGTAGTGCTCCCTCAGTTGCAATGTAAATTGCATTTGGTACAAGACCTTCATGAGTTAAATCCTTGCATGTTTTAATTATAGAGTCTGGGGATCTGTTCAATCTTAGTAAATGTTTCACAAAGAAGGCCCCTTTGAACAGGTTATCTTCGAAATGCGAAGATTTAGGCATAGTCGCAAATATTTTCTTTGCAGTCTCATCAAGTCCTTTGTTAAGCAGTCTCAGAATAAGGTTACAAACATCTTGATTGTAACCTATGCTTTTCTGAAGATGTTTAAATAGATTTTCTACTTTGTCTTCATGTCCTCCGATGGCTAAATGTTCGATTATATCTAATATATCCTAAATAAATAAAATAAAAGTATGAAACACATTTTGATTTCAGTAAGTCTAATATGAACATCTAAAAGAAATAAACATACCTTATCAGTTATGTAAGCATCCTTTTCGTTGGCTAACTGTAGGATGCCTTCTACACCCTCAATATCACCTTGTTTTGCATATCCGCACGCTAATAAAGTATAAGTACGGTTTGATGGTTGCAAACCAGCTCCTGCCATAGTTTCTAATACAGCCTTAGCTCCTTCAGTATCACCATGGAATGCATGACCCATGACTAAAGCGTTCAGAACTGGCTCAGAAACCGGCATGCTTAGCTCCCTCATCTTTTCTAGCACTTTAGTTGCTCCCTCGACATCTCCCTCTTGGCAATAACGCCACATGAGTCTCTGATAGGTGACCCTAAATAGTAAATTTAACTTGCTTAAGCATTGTGTTAACAACATATTTTATTTATATTGTTGTCTATCAATATTGGGGAAAGTACTCTGAATAATTGTTTTTTTTTTATTGCTTAGATGGATGGACTAGCTCACAGCCCACCTGGTGTTAAGTGGTTACTAGAGCCCATAGACATCTACAACGTAAATGCGCCATTCACCTTGAGATATAAGTTCTAAGGTCTCAAGTATAGTTACAACGGCTGCCCCGCCCTTTAAATCGAAACGCATTACTGCTTCACGACAGAAATAGGCGGGGTGGTGGTACGTACCCGTGCGGACTCACAAGAGGTCCCACCACCTTGATTAATGATGTGATCTTGATTAATGGTGATCGCATCATCTTGTTCCTATCATTGCACTGCCTGGCATTCAAACACAGTTCATCGATTATGCCTAAAACCACTGCATCATGTACACATATTATACACATGTCTTTCTTCTAAACAGTTTTGCAGTTCGCATCAGACATTGCTGATTTCAATTTTATGTCTAGGATGGAAACTGATATAGATCAAGTGGGTCAAGAAACTTTGATATTTTTGCATTGTATATTTTAATAATTAATTATTTTTTGTTTGTAAACAAAAACTTATGCCTTGTTTTGGTATCCCATATTTTGTACATAAAATGTTCAAAACCTGTCAAACATTATTCTAATAAGTAGATAAATAACATCTTTTCCGATTTTCTTATCTCCCTTGAATTACAATGTTAATATAACGTAGAGATTCGAAAAAAATTGTTAATTTTTTTAATGATGCTAATTCTTTTTTAATAACTTCTGAATTTGAAAAATTTTGTGCAAAATTATGTAATTATTATTTTACATTTCATTGTTTATAATTGGTATTTTAGGGGTATGTATTGTCATTTGAAACTTAAATTGTACTGTAACTAGCATAATTATCTGGTTTTTTTTCCACCATTTCATTTATTTTAGGAAGCAGTCTTAAAGCAGTCTATGGTAGATATAATTGTAATATCAATTAACTGCTCCACTGTAAACTTTATGCTTCAATAATGACTGGCTCTAGTAATTACAGAGTCCTTGAGTTTTTATTCCAATATTGGCCACTGTAAAAATAGCTCTTGATGTTATTTACCTATTTGGCTGTAATCCTTTATTTTCAAGTTCTGTAAGGAATTGTGCAGGCGAGAACGGATGTTGGTTTTCAATGTAAACTCTCAACAATGCATTGTAGTGAGAGATGTCCATTGCGATTCCTCTTTCTGTTAAAACACTCCATATTTTCTGTACAAGTAAGGTTCTTTGTTCTGGTAGCTCTTCTGGGACTAGTTCACCTGAATTTTTAAACGGAAAATCTTGAGTTTCATGCATTGAATAGTTTAACATAACAGTATAGCAACAGCAAACACCATGTGGATGATATAGTGGAATTGTATAAAATGGTTTTCTAAGGTCTACCTTTTAATTATTATTGGAGTTATTAATTATTATGTTGCACTTGTTGTTATTGTTTGCATGTTGAGGTTTTGATGAATAATCTTCCAATAACATTGTTTTGTAACAGTGATTGGAACTGAAATGTTTTTTTTTTTCTAAAATTGAGGAATTAAATGTGAAATTTAGATTTTTATGGCTCTAAAAAATTTAAATTATATATGATTATCAATTGATTCAATTAGATTAAGTAAATTAGGAAAAATGTAAAAACCAGTAATTATGATGTTATTTTTTTTTTTTATTGCTTAGATGGGTGGATGAGCTCACAGTCCACCTGGTGTTAAGTGGTTACTGGAGCCCACAGACATCCACAACGTAAATGCGCCACCCACCTTGAGATACAAGTTCTAAGGTCTCAAGTATAGTTACGACGGCTGCCCCACCCTTCAAACTGAAACGCATTACTGCTTCACGGCAGAAATAGACAGGGTGGTGGTACCCACCCGCGCGGACTCACAAGAGGTCCTACCACCAGTAATTACGCAAATTATAATGTTGCGGGTTTCATTTTTATTACACGATGTTATTTCTTCACCGTGGAAGTCAATCGTGAACATTTGTTGAGTACGTATTTCATTTGAAAAATTGGTACCCGCCTGCGGGATTCGAACACCGGAGCATCGCTTCAACACGAATGCACCGGACGTGTTATCCGTTAGCCCACGACGACTACAATGGAATGTTAATGGAAGACTATCCACACAAAATAACAATCTCGAAATTTGGGCATTGGCTGTAATGAATTTGACCTTTTATACACCATGAATAACTTTTGAAGCACTGGGAAGCAAAATTATTATTTTTTGTGTATGAAAATAGTTCATAATGGACGTGGAAATTCTTCTAAAATGTTTAATCTGATCTAAAAATATTTCAATTGTCCTTATCTTAAAAGGGATCTATGCTTAATATTATATTGGTATTACCAAATTTAAGAAAAGTCCCAAAACCATTTCTCTAGTTGTTCAGCAAACATTTTATAAAATCCAATAATTATTAACAACATAAGACTGCACAAGAATGTGTTGTTCTCTAAAAAACAAGACCACAGAGTTCACTGTGAAGAATGGGATTGTGGTTCCATTTGTAACATATAGTAGTTTATTTATTTATCGTATAGCATTCGTTTACACTGCGTGGTTATAATTTAAATTTACAGTTTGTGAAATAATCTATAGCTGCTTCTGTTACATTATAGTTAGCAATGAAGAACAGTTTCCTTACAATCAGGGTGTCTTAATATATAATTATAACTGTGCGATGGATATCTTACCACAACATCTTATAACAAGAAGAGACTGTGAGCTAGTAATGTCATTTTTAGATTGAATTTCATCTAATACTTCATCAATATCTCTTTTTGTGATCCGTCCATATCTTCTAACTTCCGAGTCTAATTTCTGAAGCAGAGGGTCAAGGCTTTCTGTTTTCTTTGTTGTTGCATAATCTCGTACAAAAACACTAAAATTTATTTCAAATTATTAATTTGGATAAATTTAATACTCTTATCATATTTTTTGCATTATATATGCATGTTTTTGAAACAAGGGTTATCTTAATCTGATCTAATTTTCAATTACTAAAAGCTAAATGTTATGACACAAATTTAATTTAAACTCAGCCCACTGAGTTTCTCGCCGGATCTTCTCAGTGAGTCACGTTTCCGATCCTGAGGTAGATTCTGCAAAGCATTGCTCTTGCTAGGGTTAGTGTTAGCAACATCGTTTGGTTTGGGCCCAGTGAGCTCATCTTCTGGTTAAGGTTACGCTGAAATGGTCTCTTAAGACCATTAGCTTAGGTAGGAAAAAAAAATTTAGCTCTCAAGACATAAACAATCAAATCACCAAATGCTGCTGCATATTGAGTTTAAAGTCACTAATAAATTGAATTCTAGTGAGGTCTAAAGGTCCAAAATATTTAATTATTTAAAGTATATTCAGATTAGCATAAAATAATTGTTTTCGATTTTTATTTTATTGTTTATTCCAGTGTTCCTTCTGGGAGCTTTTTAACTGGACTGTATTGATGTGAAATTTACACAATATCACAAGAATAGCTTTAAAGAAAGAACACTACCTTTGTTATTTTATCTGGTTGAATAAAACTGTTAATAACGAATGAAAACCTTCTAAAATTATACGACATTCTGAGTTTACTTATATTACCATTTTGAATTTCAGATTTGATTGTATACTACTCGTTTACATTTACTGGAGAAATTTTAACCAGATTGGGTTTTATATACATTTTGTGACTGTTTCACTTACTTGTTAGCAGCACTTAAGGCTTTAGAGTTGAGGAATGCACTGGCTTCGGCAGTTTTCACAGAATTCAAAATAAGTGTTCTTGCAGCACCCGTAAAGTACCGAACGAATTTCGTTGATCTCAACAACGACGACATGACTGTAATTTGATTGGGTACATTCAAGTAAATTTATCTTATTATATAAATACGGCTTTCAGTGCTAGAACTGCTAGAACAAGAGACAATATTTTTAGGTTATTTAGCTAAGTATCTACGTCTTTTTTTTAAGGATTTTATGACTTGGTAAATAAGACCTTTTAGTCATGTCTTATTTTAATTTATATATAATATATTCTTATTTTTATGAAAAATGATAATATGGAATGAAATGAAGATGATTAATTTCAGGCATTAATCAATTGGGATGAAATTAAATGAAATGAGATAATATGGGATAAAATATAATCTCAGTAAAATGGTGGTCATTTACTGAAATTTTTTCAGTGGACTTTTTGGAGTATCCCAAAAAGTCACGTCCAGCGGCTTTTTTCCTTTTTCCACATTTGTGCTCTTTCACAGATATTAAACAATTTACAAACCATTTTTATTACACATTTAAGCCTGAAGAAACACTAAATAGACAAAATAAAACAAATCACACAACTTCACTTTTCACGTTCCCGCCAAAAAGTCCTATCTCTTTTTAAATTTTACTCTTTGATCATAGTCTTTGATTTTCATTTTTAATTTATCATGATTTTATGGCCTGGTCACGAGACTTTTAAGCCCAATAGTTTTCTTTCTCTAATGTTCTGTTATATAAAATGATTGGAGCTACCTAATGATGAAGATGATTGATTTGAGATTTTAATCAATTGAAATGAAATGAAATGGACTTGAATGAAGCTAGACGAGATGGGATAAAATAAAGTCTTAGTAAAGTGATAATTATTTACTTAGACTTTTTCAGTGGACTTCTTGAAGAAGCTACGTCCAGCGATTTTATTTTTCCCACAAGTATGCACTTTCGCAGATGCTAAACTTCCATTGCATTGTATCTATGGGTTAGTTCACTCGTCGATCTCATCGTAACCGAAATGTTCGATCGGACGCTGACTTTGTGTTGCTCGTCCCCTGGGTCAGGTATGTAACTAGCGGCGGCCACGAGAAGAGGGTTGAGGGAGTGCATATAGAGTCCCTTCTTTATTGCGCCTGGTCGTGTTTTATATAATTAACACCACAGTTGGAACAATATAAATTTTATTTTTGTAGCGGCATAAAGTAATTACATTAAATTAGTTATTTAACACATTATAAATTATTTTTTATGTTTTTTCATATTTGGCGGTAAAAAGGTATCGTGTCACAGACTATATCCTTTTTCCCACATCTCGTGCGTTCCGGCTTACGCATAATAAAACGCCACAGGGTTATGGTGTCGCTCAGCTCGTTCAAAGTAGTATTCTGACGCTTCTTTTAAATACTTACGTATTGGTTCTGTTAGACGGTTACATTTGAGGGGATTGGGTTCTGTAGGTTGATGAGGGGCTATTTAAAAACACACTGCTTCATTATAATTATATTGGAGATAGTTTGAACACTGTTACATCATTATAAAATTATTATCTTTATATTTTTTATAAAACTATTACATGTTTCTCTTGCCGTGTCTAGATGAGAATTTCTGACTTTTTCTTAGGAGAATACAATCATCTGTTTTTTTAAACATTTAAAATAATTCTAATATTCGAAATCTGTAATCATGTGTCAAGTGTTGCCTGCCATTACATTTATATTCAAACTCCAACAGGTTCTATGGTCTTTTTTTTATTTCTTATAATTTTAGTTTAGTTTAGTTTTTAGTTAGTTTTAGTTCTTTAGGTCGTCGTGAAGATTGACGTTCCTCACATACCATGGGGCTTCGATGCTGCAGAAACGAAATTGGATGACTTAAAGAGAGTTTATGTGCATTCGAACACTACACATGCATAGGACTTGTGTCATGACGAGACGTATGCAAGTTTTGTAGAGTGCCTTGTTACCTTGTAAAGGACAACGTCCTTCGCTTGCAGACCATGGGTTAGAGTCTGTTTCATTCTAAAACTACTTTCATTTCAATCAATTTCGCTATTTACACAAAAGAGCTAGTCTGCTAGCCTCTGGCTTTCGTTACAAAAATATTGTCTTCACAATCTTTGCCTGTCGATTAGTAGAATTAACGAAAACAGTCTATGGTCAGTAGGTAATTTTTCTAAATTAATTCAACAGTTTGACAACTTTGACTTTAACTCATAAATTTATGTAGGTAGGTACATACGTGGTACATACCTACATACTTATGTTTTATCTATGCATTAAACAGAGCCGGAACTCTACAGAATTTTACTTCTTTAAAGCTTGTGTTTCATCTTCTTTTTCATTCATCGTCTGAGAGTGCAAAACGTCTGATAATACTTTTAAACTAGCTTAACGAGATAATTATACGGGAATATCAAAATGGTAAGTTATTGCACTTTTGTTGTCCATGCTCCAGTGACATTGAAACGACCTTTATTATCGTTTATTACACGTAAATAATTTTCCGTAGTAAAAATAGTTGAAATATGGTATAGTTTTTTTATCACTGAATTGCGTTATGACATGACTTAAAAGAATTCATCACTGTAAATAATAAAATGTAGCTGTCTTCAAATATCAATAACCTAGTGAAAAGATAGTTAATCTAATAATTATGTAGGTAGATAATCCTTATCACTGATTTTGCCATGACTGTAGACATTTAATTTAGTCGTAATCATGCCTATTTGGTGCTGTGCTGCTTCAGCACCTACAGAAACCCATGTTGTTAGTGAGGTAGTGGTTATCATGGTGAGACGCTTACTCATTTGTTCACAAAAAATTTTTTTTTGTATTATTGAGGAAAGCATAACTTGTAGAGGTATAAACTAATGTACTACTTAGTTTAGTACTAGTAATGTATTTGATCAGGTTAATTTGCTTTCTTTCAGGCTGAACCTATAAGAGTTGTTGTAACTGGTGCTGCCGGACAAATTGCATACTCACTTCTTTATCAAATTGCGTCTGGAGCAGTTTTTGGACCTCAACAACCTGTCTTCCTCCACCTTCTTGATATTGCGCCTATGATGGGTGTACTTGAAGGTGTTGTCATGGAGTTGGCCGACTGTGCTCTGCCACTTTTGGCTGGGGTTCTTCCTACAGCAAATCCTGAAGAAGCTTTCAAAGATGTTGCTGCTGCTTTCCTAGTTGGTGCTATGCCCAGAAAGGAAGGTATGGAGAGGAAGGATCTTCTTGCTGCTAATGTGCGCATCTTCAAAGAGCAAGGCCAGGCTTTGGACAAAGCGGCTCGTAAAGATGTGAAGGTCCTTGTTGTTGGCAACCCAGCCAATACAAATGCTCTAATATGTTCTAAATATGCTCCATCTATTCCAAAAGAAAATTTCACTGCCATGACTCGTCTTGATCAAAACAGGGCTCAGTCCCAACTTGCTGCTAAAATTGGAGTACCAGTTAAAGATGTTAAGAGAGTAATCATCTGGGGAAACCATTCATCAACCCAGTTCCCTGATGCTTCGAATGCTGTAGCTATTGTTGGAGGCGCTCAAAAATCTGTTTCTGAAATTATCAATGATGATGCATATTTGAAAGGCGCATTTGTAACAACGGTTCAAAAACGTGGTGCTGCCGTTATTGCCGCCAGGAAAATGTCATCTGCTCTTTCTGCTGCTAAAGCTGCATCAGACCACATGAGAGATTGGTTCCTTGGCACTGAAGACAGATGGGTTAGCATGGGAGTTGTTTCAGATGGATCTTATGGTACTCCGCGTGATGTTGTATATTCATTCCCTGTTACTGTTACCAATGGAAAGTGGAAAATTGTTGAGGGTCTCACTATCTCTGATTTTGCCCGTCAAATGCTCGATGCTACTGGCAAAGAGTTGGTCGAAGAAAAACAGGAGGCTTTAGATGTCTGCAAAGATTGACTGAGTAATCTTTAAGGATAATAATTAGTATAAAATACCACTTACATTAAGTAGGCACAATGCTTATGTAAATTGGTAAGAACAATTTGTTGATATTGTTTTTTTTTGGTATTAACCTAATCATGGCAGGTTAAAAAGCATTATTGTTAAAGCTTTTATCAATGTTTTTATTTTTGTATTAGAGTTGTAGATGTTTTTAAAACATTCAGATTCAGTGGTTAAATATTTCATGTCATTTTGTTCATTGAGTTTATCATATCACATATAATCTGATAAACTGTTATTTTATGAAATTCTTGTTTCATTTATCTTTTAAAAAACTAGTACCGTTGTCTTATTATCAGTGATAACAAGTTAACTAATCTATTTTAATTTGGCTTCCCCATAAAAGTAATTTTACCGATTATTGAATTTCATGTAAACTAAGAAAAAACTGAAGATTTGGATGTTAACATTAAAAATTAGCTTCCAGATACCTTCATAAAAGTACTTTTAAGATAATGAACAAGTGTGGAGTACACTTACAATCAATGTTTACGCAAACATCCATTTATCATTATCAGTGAGGTCAAAGGGTTTCATAATTAGTAGTACTCATATGAGTTATGGAATTGATCAGACCAACTACATAGGTAGTAACGATAATAAAGGTTTTATAGCTGAATATGTTTTACAGTGAATTTTGGTTTTAATTGTGTCTAACTCGTCAATTCAGTCTATGCGTAAGTTTTATATTGCTAAGGTGGGTGGACGAGGTCACGGTCCACCTGGTCTTAAGTGGCTACGTCAGGTCATAGATAACAACGTAAATGGCGCCACGCACCTTGACACATGAAGTCGTCGTGGCCTAAAGGATAAGACGCCCGGTGCAGCCGCGTGAGCGAATACTACATTTGCATAAGTCATTCTCGGACGTACGCAAGTTTTATAGAGCGTGTAACCTTGTTAGAAAGGGACAATATTGCAGATCATGGGGTGAAGTTATTCTTGAAAATAATGGTTATCGCTATTTGGGTTTTATGGTAGCTATCGGTACAGTGTCACCAATCAATGACATTATGGTATACATATTTATGAGTACATATTTTAATAGATTGTTCCGAAAAAGGGTAAAGTTTCTCCAGTGTGTCCGAATGTAATTTATCGCTATTTATATATTAAGTGTATTTATCTATGGTCGCCATGCTCTGTAGCCCAAGCGGTTTGTAATAAATGAGGCGCGATGGTGTGTCAACCCTCAGACACAGCCCACTGAGTTTCTCGTCGGATCTTAGTGGGTCGCGTTTCCGATCCGGTGGTAGATTCTGCGAAGCACTGCTTTTGCTAGGGTTCGTGTTAACAACGTCGTCAGGTTTGAGCCCCGTGAGCTTACCTACTAGTTAAGGTTACGCTGAAATAGCCTCTCAAGGCTCCCAGCTTAGGAAAGGAAAAAAAAGGTGTGTCATTAGATTTAGTTTAATTGAAGGGCGTCTCTCATGTTTTAGGATGCAGAATCTGTGTGTAAGAAATAAATGAGAAGTTAAATTAAAATGGATCTTAATAAATAGGGTAACTATACAACTGATATAAACATTATAAACTAGAAAAGAAAGGTTTTAACATAATTTACAGTTAATCTTGTAAGTTGGTGAAGATTACATTGAAAAATTCCGCTTCATACAGTTGATGCAAATAAAAGGGTTAAGTATTATAAAGCAATATTTGTTACAATTCAACTAGTGGCCAAAGGCGAATAACGTAATAGCTACGTTCAGTTTAGAGACCTACCTTTATATCGTTCTTAATTATACCTTTATATCGTTACCTACCCTTATATCGTTTTTAATTAGCTTATCAAATCAAATATCATAGACATGATTATGACCTTTGATTATTATATAATCAAAGCCTCGAGGCGATTGACCAAGTACCTATTTACGACTAGCGGCCCACACCGGCTCCGCTCGGGACTTTAACAAAAATTTCAACGATATTTGACTTTGTTTTATTTTTTTAAATAAAAGAAAACTTATTGCGGCGTAACTATAATAGTTAGACATATACTGTCGCGACACCTTTTGTAAATAGTAACGTGTTCTACAAAGTCGTAGTACATTATTTTATTCCATCATCAATAGTTTTCGCAGGGCACCCGATGTAAAGAATATTTAGGGTAATTTTTTTACACCTAGGGTTACATTATTGAAGCTTTATTAAGGATCCCTAATTTTTTTTTAAAAAAGATTATAGCCTATGTCACTCGGGAATAGTGTAGTTTCCAAACAGTGAAAGAATTTTTCAAATCGATTCAGTAGTTTCGGAGCCTATTCAATACAAACAAACAAACAAACAAATCTTTCCTCATTATAATATTAGTATAGAAGTATAAATATAGAAAAGGCCCTAAATAGAAAATTATGGAATAATAGTGTAGCTTAAAATGATTAATCACGTGCTGGCAACGAGATATGAGTGTGAAATTGTTTACATTATTTACTGAACGTTTGCCAAAGCTGCCTGGTTTACCTACCTACAGTTGAGATACTTAAAGTTACGCACCCCAGCCTTATTGAATGAACTCGCTTAATTGAAAAGATGGTACAGCGTCTTACGGTTTTACAACATGTAAGGTGACCATTTTCGAAGCCGATGACGAAATAAGTTTTTTTTTGTCGATGGCGAACTATAAAGTGCTGTTACCTTCATCCTACCGTAAAGTACAAATTACATTAGACCATTCACCCTGACAGGGACATGGCCCAGCCGTTGCCCGCTATTCTAAAATAAACGTGAAACAAGCGTTAAGCATAAATATTTATGGTCTCATTAATGATGCGTTGTCGGAGCTTTATAAGCCCACTATAAAAAGTCTCTCAAAAAGTGTTATTTTTAATACGAGTGGTTATTATTTTCGTTATAAGAGGATTGTCAAAAAGTGTTACTCATTTATGCAAATATTAATATGTTGGAGCTTTTGTTAATCGAAGTGTTGGAGAACACATTTCGGCAGTAGTATTAGACTTATAAACTTTAAGCTTAATTTAATGTGTCGTGAGTCGGCAATTTAAAGCAAAGAGAGCTGGCGTTCGTATTCCCGCGTAACAGGAATTCTTTTATGGCCGTTAGTCAGGTCATGCTTATTTGTTTTACAGTGCGTGCAGTAAATAGGTAGTGATTGCCGGTTTTTTATCGCGTCCTTATTAGCTAATCGTGAGTGCATAGACACACTCGAAACTTTTTTCTTCTACCTTCTTAGTGGTAAACTCTTGACAGAGTGGTCGTGGTCATGCATCACTCGAATCCTGCGATACCGATGCTCTCGCAATGCGACGCCATGTGGCACGATGTTTCACAGAGAGAGAGAGCAATCATTTATGTCGGAGTGAGCTTAGATTCGAGTGAAGTCGTCGTGCCCTAATGAAGTCGTCGTGACCTAAAGAATAAGACGTCCGGTGCATTCGTATCTAGCGATGCACCGGTGTTCGAATCCCGCAGGCGAGTACCATTTTTCTAATGAAAAAATAACATCGTGTAATAAAAATCAAACCCGCAAAATTACAAATTTGCGTAATTACTGGTGGTAGGAACTCTTGTGATTCAGCACGGGTAGGTACTACCACACTGGATTTTTTTTGTCCTACCTAAGCTGATGCGCCTTGAGAGGCTATATCAGCGTCGCCTTAACTAGTAGGTGAGCTCATGGGGCTAGAACTTTGTTGACGTTGCTAACACGAACCCTAGCAAGAGCCGTGCTTCGCAGAATCTACCACCGGATCGGAAACGCGACCCACTGAGAAGAAGATCCGGCGAGTAACTCAGTAGGCTGTGTCTGAGGGTTAATTTACTAGTCGAGCCCTTCGTCGCAAGCGACGGGTTCGACGAGAACGATGACCGGTGCTTGAGGTACCTAAAAGCACCGTTAGTGGATCGTGAGGATCCGAAATGACGTGTTTGGGGTGACGTCGACTGCTTTCCATTCTGTCCGCAGGATCGGGAATGTAGTTACTGGCGGCCACGATGAGAGGGTTCTAGTGTCGTGCCGCTTTGGGCTCTAAGTCCAGGTCGTCATGGAGGTCGACGTTCCTGACGAACCACGGAACTCCGACGGCTATCCTGCAAAAACGGGATTGAATTACTTGGACTGATTTTAAGTTAGTGCGGGCTGCGTATGCGTACACTACGCTTGCATAGGTAATAACGGAGCCTATGCAAGTTTTGTAGAGTGTCACCTTATTTCTAAGGGACAATTTACTTCGCCTAAATATCATGGGGTAGAGGCGTCCTAGTATGAAGGCGGCACGGTCGCGTATCGTCTTTATGTGGGGGCGGAATATCATCCCTCTGTCAAGGGTGACGCCTAAGTATTTGACCTTCAGGGCCCACGGTATGGGTTGGTCGTACATGATGATTGGGCGAATGGCGGAGGCGGAGGTGTTGACGCGCCTAGTCAGGAGTGTGATGCTCAATGTGGTGTTCGGAGCGCGACCCCTTTTGAAGAGCACCGCTGTGCTTTTCGTGGGGTTGATGTCGATGCGCCACTTCCGGAACCACTGTCTCATGGTGGTAGCTGCGCTCTGAAGTCACCGATGTAACAACGACTTCTTCCTACACGAGTAGTAGATAGCCGTGTCATCGGCGAAGAGCGCCAGATGGGTCTCCGGAGACCGGGGACTACCACCCTGCCTATTTCTGCCGTGATGCAGTAATGCGTTTCGGTTTGAAGGGTGGGGCAGCCGTTGTAACTATACTTGAGACCTTAGAACTGATATCTCAGGGTAGGTGGCGCATTTACGTTGTGGATGTCTATGGGCTCCAGTAACCACTTAACACCAGGTGGGCTGTGAGCTCGTCCACCCATCTAAGCAATAAATAAAAATAAAATTGCATTTCGGTTTGAATGATGGGGTAGACGTTGTAACTATACTGAGACCTTAGAACTCAGAAAACATCTCAAGGTGGGTGTCGCATTTTACATTGTAGATGTCTATGGGCTCAAGTAACCACTTAACACCAGATAGGCTGTAAGCTCGTCCACCCATCTATGCAATAAAAAAATAAAAATAAAATCTCAATTCTCACTTCAAAATTTGTAAATGCTCATTTTTTCGGTGCTATTCCTCAAAAATTTACACGTCTTTTATTATACTTAAGTCGCTTGTTGCGAATGTTTTCTATATTAGCCATGGTGGTCGAGGCCTCATTTATCAACCACATGACAGACGGCCCCGACTGGTCTTAAATCGCCACTCGACACGTCAACAGCTGCAGAGTTTTCTGATGGTCCACTTTCTTACACGTACAGAATTACATGATA